GCTAAACTTAAACATGTGTTGATCAAAACGGTCAAAGAACAGAAAATGCTCATGGGACATTTTGGAAGGCACTGACTAACAACTGGTTTTGTGTCTAACAGCGACGGACTGTGCAAGACCAAACATGACAGGATGCAACGGGCAGAACAGGGAAGGTAGTCAGGAGGACAATGCTGAGGACAGTGATGAAGACAATGCAGTGCAATGATATAAAAATTACAGAAGTTCTTTTTGATATTTGCTGCAGTTGGTAACTTTTGTAAAAATAACCTTTTGAGTTTTGGTATTTGACGACCTGGGAATGAAGAATCAAATATCTTTCTGTTGGCATAATAACATAATATAATGTTCATAGTAATGTTTTTATCCGTGTATAATCTCATGAAAACAGGCATCATTGTTTCTTCTACACAATTGGAAGGCAAGTTGTATTCAAATGATTTGACTGGATCCCAGTAAATCCTTCACACTGGACCTTTAATAGTGTGTTTGTAGTGTGCCTCATGTTATCTAGCTTCTTTTTCTACTTCAACATCTATTTTAAAAAGCAGTATACTGTATATATAAAATGGTTCTAGTTTTATACCAGCATGCTCAAAATCACACATGGAGGGTCAGTTTTATAAACTGAAACATCTGGACACTAAGAGACTGAAATATCATCCTGAAACTGTGATTGTTGTTTGTTTGTGAAAATAAATTTATTTTTTGACTTGTTCATGGCCTTTTTCTTACATTTTTAATTGATCAACATTTCCTCCCTCATTTTAGGACTTTTGGTTTAACACCAGTTCCTGAATTGGGCTAAAAAAGGTGCAAATTCAGCACAATCCTAACCACAACTTACCTGTAACCAATACTTTTGCTGTTTTCTCTGCATTAAACTAGCTATGTGTTTACAAAGAGACACAGTTACACAGGCAATAATTACCCCCTGTATTCTCCCCCCATTCTGCCCCTCACATTTATTTTTTCTAACTGTAACCATTTCTATATGGCTCTGAACCTAACCAACCAAACCAATGAAGGCAATGAACATGAGCCAATCAGAGGAGTGTTCTTGAGGGGGCTGAGGAGTGTATACCTAGACTCACCAGGAGGTGGCACCACACAGTCAGAAGTAAGGGTGCTCATGTGGACAGAAATCACAAGTCCTCAGTACCTGTGAGCACTGGCTCCATTTCAGGCAGTAAAACTCATTTACATTCTGCTCCCAGTCACCATTTTAGTTCAGATGTTACTAAGTTGTTTGTTGTTGTGTCTTTTTGTGCTGTTGTGTTTTAAATAGTTTTTTGAGGAGTAGATTCCTTAAAACGTGTGTGTGTGTGTGTGTGTGTGTGTGTGTGTGTGTGTGTGTGTGTGTGTGTGTGTTCTTTGCAAATCCAGTAAGCTTGGCCCTGACCTCTGACCCCTTGTGGAGGTGCCCGGAAGATCAATACTTTCTGTTATTATTAGGGTTTTGAGAAGTGTTCTTACCTCGAGCCCAGCTTCTGTACGTGTATACACAGAAGATGAGTATGGCATTGTAGAGGATGAACAGCAGGATGGCACACACCAGGTTGGGCAGAGACATCAGAGGAGGAGGAGGAGGAGGAGAAAAACCTGTAGAGCCAGAGTTTCAAACATGAAACATAATCAGTTCTGTTCTTATTCAAATATCTGCATGTGAATACAGAATCTGGAGGCAAGGGACCAGATTTTGGTAAGGTTAGCAGCTGTGGTTTATTTTTGTAGTGCGAGTTGTATTGACCAATCATGTTTGAGCAGGCTTTGGTTGGCTGCAGGTGAACATTCTGTATGGAGATGGAGCAATCTCAGAATCCGGCTGTCATCTTCCAAAGATGGACCTCTTTATTAGCTTTTTAAAAATGGATGTATATCTGTTTATAGAGATCATCTGAGATTAACCCACACGATTAGCTTGTGTCTCAAGTCGCTAATGGGACTGTAAACAATAACCGGTGCGTGGAAGAGGAAGACTTGGATATCCATTATCCCCAGAGGCTAAATCGAGGCCAGACGATAACTGAGACTGCTGTAATTCAAATGCATTAAAAAACAAAATAAATTAAAACAATGAATATTGAATATTTGTGCAAGTTTTTTAAATTTGAAATTCAGTTGTTCATTAAAGGGACAATGATGGCTAACGTCTCAACAACTCTGCGGGTATGTGAAGCTGCCGTGGTTAAGTTTTAGACAGCAGAAATCACAGCTAGAAAACTTGAAGACTTACTAGAAGACTAATTACTGAAGAGTAGAGCTTTGGTACATATCATGGACATGGGCTGGGGATGAAGAACCCACAAAAATTTGCACTGACTCTGCAGCTTTACAGCACTCCTTAACCTCTTTATGTCATTGTTTTGGTTTCAAAGCACATTAATGAAGCTATGACATTGTTGATATTTAAAAAAACTATTATTCAGCTTTTGAAGATGAAGATTAAATACCATTGTGTAAAAACACACAATAAACCTGCCACAAGAAAAGCTATCTGAGTCACATTTCAGTGAAACAGGATGTAGAGAAACTACATAAAGACATTGATAGACTCAAACAAAGTTAGACTATACTCATCATACTTCACCATGAAACTAACAATGTGCCCCAACCACATCTTTTCACTTCTTCATTTGATTTTTCTGAGTGGGAAATAAAAATCAGCTTGTAAGTTCACAATTGGCCTACATTAAAGTAAATTATTGCTAATTAAGTTGTGATTCATGAATTTCTTAAATAAAAGGGGGGTGCAGAGGTGAGTTTCAACTTACCTCTACCTAGCTTCACAGTAACCATGACGATGGGACTCATCTTTGACCAGCCACTTGACCACCATCTGCTGGTATGATGGAAGACCTGCAACCATGACTCCTTTCAGTGACCTCAATACTGAAACATAGAATTGACTGAACAGCTCTTTGACAGTGTGAACAAAAACTGAACATAAAATCTATATTATATTATAATATATCGGACTGTATTAGACAGTTTCAACCCCAATTTGCTAAAGGGTCTCAGCCTTTTAAGGTCGTGACCAACAGAATAACCGGATCAGGGTTTCTTCCAGAGACTCTTCAGGCATTGCTGTAATGTAACACATGAAAGCAACAAAACTCAGGAACACAGAAGATAATTGCTTTAAGAGCAACTGGTTAAATGTTGGCTTTAATACATGCTTTTTATTTATTGAAATAACAACAGTCAACATGTCTTCTTTAGGCCTAAGAGCTCAATAAAAGATAGAAATAAATGCTCATGAGGAAACTGGCCCTGTTAACATGTATAAAAACAGAGTTTATAGCCTATAGTATTCTGTGTTTTTAAGTTCTGGTCCCCTGTGTTCAATGTCGCTGGATGTCACAATATCTTATTTTATTCTCTACAACTACACGGCGACCCCTCTGGAAATTAACAAATGAACCTCTTGGGGGTCCCAACCCCCAGGTTCAGAGGCAGCAAAACTGTACATTTTCTATTAATGTTAATGCTTTGTATGTTATTGTTCATCCTGAGCTGCAGCAGGCCCTGATGTAAAAGCTTTTTTGCAATTGTGCTGAGGTTAGTGCACTTTATGTATAAACCTCCTGTTTTATTATTTTTATGGTTACTATTTATAACAATGAAATAAAGATGATGTATATTTGTATCATGTGGTTATTTTCTAATTCATTGTCAGCTTCCCTGCCACACTGGCCCACAGTTATTCCAATATTTAAAAAGCTACAGTCATCACAGTTTTAATTTTGTGTCTTCAGATAAACAGTCAAACTGAATGCGTGCAGAAAAACCTGGAGCCCTTAAATGTGTTTGAATATAAATGAGTCATCTGGCAGTTATTGCCTCACAGCACGGAGAAAGTGAAACTAAAGTTTGTTCGTGGTCGGAGAGAGTTCAGCTGGAGCGTATATTTCTTTCATCTTAATCTTTGACATAATGTGACATGAGCTCTCTGAGATCCACTGTGTCTGTTCTTCATCCAGAGATCATGATGGAGTTCATTATTGTGGTTTTGCTTTCTTCTCTCCCTGCGGTGGGGGTTACAGGTGAGATTGTCCTGCTTTAGTGAACAGGTAACAGACAGTACTGGATTCAGCTCTTCCTGCTTTTTGATGTGGTTAAACAATCTCAGACTGTTACAGTTAAATGTTTTTCTAAAACCAGCTTGTTAATGCAGAAAAAGTAATGCTGAGAATCAAATGCTGTTCTGTTTCGGCTTCACGACGGGAATTCCCTTTTTGTTTTTTGGTTTTATCAGCACGTAGCCATTTTGAACGCATTCAGTCATAAACAATATAATCAGATGGTGTTATCAGAACTCAGTGGACTATGTACGCTCAGTCAATGTTTTCCTTATTTAAAATATGTAATATTATATATAATGATAATTCAGTAGAACTGTCCGCAATGTGTAAAAACACATCGTTAAAGAGTTTGTCCAAATACTGAGACATTAATGAAATCATATTCCAATCAAATAAATATAAGTAAGTAATAAAACATTGAACATGAAGCAGACAGATGTTCATGGTAATGTTGCTTTGTCACTCATTAGTTTATTTCCAGCTGTGTGAACGCAGGTTGCAGGTTCCAATGCCACAGTGTGCACACAGATACTGTATTTATTGTTCAGAGGATCCGATACAACCTTTCTATGAGTAACTGGTTGAACCGGATTAACCACTGATGTTTCTGCTGATACAGAACCAACATTTAGAGGAAGTGATATTCTTTTTCAGCACTTTATGTATAATGTGTTACGACTGTTTGAGGCGATCAGCTGACACAACTAACTTGTGATTAGTTCACACTCAATAGATCATCAGTTAAAGAAAGTTAATACACAAACATATTCATATATCTGTGAGCCCTGTGTAGAGACTTAAGAAATATGACTCAGTTAACAGATAATAATATCTCTCTCTCTCTCTCTCTCTCTCTCTCTCTCTCTCTCTGTGTGTGTGTGTGTTTGTTTTTAATGTAACTGCCTTTATTGGCATTACCTTTTAAACAAACATTTTGCCAAAGCAAAAAGTCTATAATATTTTTTTTCTTATACAATAAAATAATTGAATACTAATAACACAATGAAATGTAATGAAAATAAATCTATCTCTCTCACACAAACACAAAGGTTTTAGACAAAAGAAGAAAAATAATTCAGAATGTACCTTTAATTCTTCAGTATATATTTCAAATTTAATTTTTCGGTATATATTTCAAATGTAATTTTAAATATATACTTCTAAGATTTCTATGTGCTCATGTTATATAAACTATTTGTGATATATTGTGATATATATTGTTATCAGTCCTATATAGAATGACATATAGACCAATATATACAGTTATTTATAGGAAATAATCCTGCAGTCCGTCTGGTTGAATGCAAAATGCTTTCACATATAGTTTAATGAGGAAATCCACAACTTTTATTTTAAAGGCACCACAACCAGTTTAAAACAGGGCAATGGCAGCTGGCTGTGTGGGTAGTTCATTTTAGGAGGGGCATTACAGTCACACAGCGGGGCATCCACAGTACTGGCTGTCTGGTCGAGGTATAATTCCTGCCATGATTATAAAATAATGTTTTCAGCTAATTAATCATTAAATCTCTTTATCATAAAAACACTTAGAATCAACCAAATTAAGGCCACATATAAGATCACCGTTCATCCATGAGAAGAAGGTTAAGAGTCAACAGAAAGAACCTCTCCCTGTTCCTTTATGTGCACACACACATTAAACACTGGTGGACACACACTGTCCTTTGAGGAGGAAAGTGTCTCCTCCTTCGTCTCCAGAGGTGCAGCTGGACATTTGATGATATGTATTCGAACCTAACTGCTGTTTCTTGTTTGTTCTTTTGTTTTCCTCACAGCAAACTCACAGTTGATTTGTTCACATCAACCAATCACAGCCCTGCCCGGTGATGATGTCATTCTACCATGTCACCTTGAACCTCCCATCAGTGTTTCTGATGAGACAGTGGAGTGGACCAGACCTGATTTAGACCCAAAGTACATCCACCTTCACCAGGATGGACGATTTATATATAAAACTCAAAATCCATCTTATAATCTCCGCACGGGACTGTTTATGGATGGACTGATGACAGGAAACGTCTCCATGAAAATCTCCAAAGTGAAAGTTTCTGATACAGGAAGATACCAATGTGCCCTTCCCTCATTACAGAAGGAAGCTTCCATCCAGCTCATTGTTAGTAAGTCAGACTGGGTTTTATAAAGGCAGAACATTGACTGAACTCAGTATTTTAATTAAAGGTACAGGAGGCCTGGAGGTTCAGCTCCTCAACCTTTAGAGATGAACCTGTACTGATCCCCAGATGGACTGTGACTGAGTCTGAGGAGTAACACGTACATTGACCTGTGTGAGGGAGTGTAACAGTTGTTTGTAAAGGTTGAGCTGTGCATTGCAAATGCTGCTCTTATAATTCAAAATAATACTGAATCATGAATCTGTCACAGATTCATCTTGTAAGAAAATGTAATGAAAATCAGTTTTCTGATTGATTGTCGGGCGGATCTTGTTAAAACAGGACTCAAAAGCAAGACTCATAACACAGAGATTCAGTTGAATTAGGGATGGGGCCGATCCGATCCAGTATCAGGACCGATACCAGCGTAATTCACGTATCGGAATTTCCTGATCCAACCTGCGCAGAATTCCAATATCCATGAGCCATGTCTGCACTTTAAGGTTGTCTGCTGAAATGACTCCACAGGTGATTCCTGCCGGCCAGTCTGCGAGCTGGCTGCAAACTGTGGAATGGATTTCCTGAACGGAGGCGTGGCTCAGTGAGACACAGAGTTATGAGACACGCCTCCGCTCAGGAAATATATTCCGCAGTTTGCAGACATCTAGCAGGATAGCATTGAGCAACATTGTGTGTGTGTGTGTGTGTGTGTGTGTGTGTGTGTGTGTGTGTGTGTGTGTGTGTGTGTGTGTGTGTGTGTGTGTGTGTGCGTGTGTGTGTGTGTGTGTGTGTGTGTGTGATGTTTACAGTTTTTGCACTTTTCTTATATTTCAGATAATTGACATTTTAAAACCTTGATTTATTGATACTACAAGAGCCACTTGTAAATCTACTTGATTTGTGGTGTTCAGATGCACACTGTTTTATTGATAGTGTGTGTGTGTTTACACTTATTGCACTTTTCTTATATTTCAAGACTCAAATATTTGACATTTTGGGAATTTAATAAATATTGACATGACAATAAATTTGAAACCCTTACAGTTTATAGTTTTTTTTTTTTGCATATTTGTTTTCAGAATGGGATTCTTCCTGTTAACAGGATTTCCTTTTCTGACCTTATACTTACCTCAAGTTGCCTTTTGGGACATACATGCATACATACGTACATGTCATAATTGCCTGTTGAGAGGAGTTTTTTTCAGCCTCATATAAAATCAACAATAATGATATTAATAATATTAAAGCAAACACAGCTCTGGTATCGGAATAGTATCGGTATCGGCCGATATCCAAATTTAGGTATCGGGATCGGATCGGAAGTGAAAAAATGTGGATCGGTGCATCCCTAAGTTGAATAATCAGTTCACTTGTTTAGTAAAGTGCAGAAGTACACAGAAAATCCAACAATAGTGCAAACAAGTTCAAAATCCAAAAACCAAAGCTCATGAAACACAAAGGAATGCTGGGACATTTGATCAGAGACACAAAGACAAACAGAAGGGAGGAAACACTGAGGCTGCGTTTCATCAGTCGTTCACTGGCCCTCGGGGGAATCCCCGTCGCCATCATAAGTGTCGTTCCAATTGTCTGGAAAACTGAAGTGAACTTGGTGAGATGGACCCTCGGAGGGCTGAGGGAGCGAGTGAACAACAATGGTCACTCCGAGGTGGATATCACCCACAATGCATTGCAGTTTACGTCATTGCCGCTATAACGCCGACGGCTGCCAATGAGTAGACTCCAAGGGCAAGTGCGTTTTATTTAAATCCCCCGCTCCTCCCCCGCCCACTTTCCCTCCACGCTCCAAGTGGCCTCCGTGCGATGTATGCTGTTACGCCCTGCTCTCTAAATATCAGCATTAACCATTAAAACCATATCAGTCCACCACTAATACTGTACTAATGAAATATTTTAATATCAGTGTTTAATGATTCTGTAACAGGAAGTGTAAATATGATGTTTGTCTCTGCAGGAGAGCCTAAAGTTATTGGCTCAGACAAACCAGTTACAGTAACAGTCGGTGATAACGTCATCCTGCCATGTCAACTGGAGCCTCCATTCGATGTGACGACTCTAACAGTGGAGTGGACACGTGATGGAAAATATGTGCATGTCTATAGAAGTAGGAAGGACTATCTAACTGATCAGGATGAGAACTTCAGAAATAGAACATCTCTCTTCTATGAAGAAATGATCAGAGGAAACATTTCACTAAAACTGACCAACGTAACTGAACTGGATGCTGGAAGTTACACCTGCTCTGTTCCCAAACTGGAAAGTCAGGTCTGGAGAGGCTTCATTAACCTCACTGTTGGTGAGTACAGCTAACATATTACACATTCAAATGAAATAAGAGGAAATGTTTTTTAGCTCTTAAACACAGTTTACACATTTACAATTTAACACAATTGTCCAACAGAGCCAGTGGAGAACGGGAACAAAGGAGGTCAGACTGATGATACCAGTAAGTAAATATCTTATTTGTCTCCTCATCAGCTGTCATCTCCTGTTGGTCTGAATGTTATCACATATTTTTTTATTTTTTTTTTTTTTTTTTTTACAAAAACAAAGAAAGGTAGTTTTTTTTTTTTTTTCTTTCCAAAATTTTAAAAATTTTTCCTCCTTTTTCTCCCCCCCTTAAAAAATGAACCTGAGAATGAGCATAATATGACCTCTTTACACCTCAAACATAATCAGACAATTGAATGTACTTCTTTAAGCCCATTATAACAAATAATGAACTCATTCATCATCTCAGAGCACACACTGATAGAGGACTACTAAAGGTCCAGTGTTTAACATTCAGGAGGATTATGTTTTTCTACATAGCCCAGAACACATTTGGAAGTTTTATTCACGTGTTTGCAATCTGTAACTTCACCACTAGATGGCACTGAATCCTCCACAGCGGTCCTTTAAATAACCCTGGATCCTCGTATTTCTGGAGAATATTCTCACTGATAATACTGTTTGTTTACTGTTGTGCAATGAAAGAGATTCTAACCAACAGACAGTTTTGGTGGGATGGACTCCAAGTACACATTGAGACCATGAACAGGAGAAGTGGCTGTGGAAATATTGTTGATGGATGTTATTTTGGAACAGTGAAGAACAAATCTCAACATCTTTCCTCTGTTCTTTCAGGTGGTGGCACTGGTGCTATAACTGGCATTGCTCTTGGTGTCATTGCTGTCATTGCCATTGTAGCAGTTGCTGTATTGATGAAACGTAGAAAGATCAGTAAGTCAATAATCTTCTCTCTCTCCATTTTCTCCATTTAAAAAGACAGTTTACAGTTTTTCAGTCAGTCTTCAAACAACAGTGAACAGTGAAACAGGTTTTTCTTGCTGTAATGGTTCCTCCTGTTATACTGGACATTAAAGATCTCTTCCTAAAGTACTTTCAATGGAAGTGATGAGGGGAACAATCTACAGTCCTCCTTACATGGAAACATGTTTTCAGAAGTGTATCTAAAGCTAATATCAGCTAATATGTGTTTATAACTCCATCATTTATTTAGAAATCATTTATTGGGGGGTCTGCACCCTGCCTCTCATGTACAGTGTGTCTGAGCTTTCTCACTATCCTGCTGTCTGATTATGATGGTTGATCTGGGACAAGCTCCTTTACTTGTAGTTCCTCACTGTCAATAACAACAAGTGTCATCACTCCACTGCTGACTGACTCTGCTTGGGCTGATAAAATAATCGCCCTTTTCACATCCTATTCTCACTTTTCCTCTAAACTCAACCCAGAGCACTCAAACTACAGAAAATCACTGACTGATAACTTGTTTTGTGTTGTTGATTATGTGTTCAAGAGGACAAGAGAGAGAATATCTTCCAGCACAGAGGGACAATGCTGGGGGCAACAATGCTGAAGCAATCCCGTTGGAATAACGACAGACAAATCCAAATATCTTTGATCAGGTATATCCAGTAAAACATCAGAGTTAATAAAAAACAATGTGAAATAATAACTTTCACATTCTGAAAATATAATTTTATTAAACATTAATTGCATACTTTGAGTCTTTAGTAACTGGGACTATATTCCACCCTGTCTCATTCATTCATTTCATCCAGTTAAACACTGAACTCTCTGGTGTTCCTGTTTGTCTTTAACAATGTTCTGATGTCAAAATGTCAGAATGTGTTTTTCTAAAGGTTCATACAGTCAGTACAGACTGAAGGTATGTGAGAGCTTTACATTTGTATTCACTGTAAACTGGATGATGATAGCAGGTAACTTCTCTTGTTTGACCTCATGGTGGCGCTGTGTATCAGTAAGTACCATCTGCAAGTACTCAGTGTGCAGTAAAATGTTCCCTGTCATATAAATTATATTGTTGACTTGATGTGACAGCTGTAGATGTTTAATGAGCTCATTTTAACTTCTTTATACACATTTGGGTAGTTTAATCTATATACAGCAATGCATCATATTCTATCAGATCATAACATAGTTTAACATAGTTGTCCTGTAAGGTTCTCACCTGTAAAAAGACAGAAACAGCCCATTTTAAAATTTTACATATACCTGAGTAAATGTACGATATGTAAGATATTACAGGATAAACATTAAATAGAGCTACGCTGAAACGTATCATTATATATTATATATAAGTATTTATTTTTTACTCTGTAAATACTGTAAAAACTTGTAAATGACAAAAATATTGTTCAAGTATTTGTTGGTTGAATATATTCTGAAAGGTTTATGAATGATGTCGACCTGAGGTACGTGTGCAGGAACGTTTAAAAAAAAAACACTTTAAATCCAGAATTTCCAACAAAGTGATTTAAAAATGACAGAAGTTCTTTTTGATATTTGCTGCAAATGATTACACTGGACCTTTAATAGTGTGTTTGTAGTGTGCCTCATGTTATCTAGCTTCATTTTCTACTTCAACATCTATTTTAAAAAGCAATATACTGTATATATAAAATGGTTCTAGTTTTATACCAGCATGCTCAAAATCAGACATTGTCAGTTTTATAAACCGTGATTGTTGTTTGTTTATGAAAATAAATTTATTTTTTAACTTGTTCATGGCCTTTTTCTTACATTTTTAATTGATCAACATTTCCTCCCTCATTAAAGGACTTTTGGTTTAACACCAGTTCCTGAATTGGGCTAAAAAAGGTGCAAATTCAGCACAATCCTAACCACAATTTACCTGTAACCAATACTTTTTGCTGTTTTCTCTGCATTAAACTAGCTATGTGTTTACAAAGAGACACAGTTACACAGGCAATAATTACCCCCTGTATTCTCCCCATATTCTGCCCCTCACATTTATTTTGTCTAACTGTAACCATTTCTATATGGCTCTGAACCTAACCAACCAAACCAATGACGGCAATGAACACGAGCCAATCAGAGGAGTGTTCTTATGAGGGGGCTGAGGAGTGTATACCTAGACTCACCAGGAGGTGGCACCACACAGTCAGAAGTAAGGGTGCTCATGTGGACAGAAATCACAAGTCCTCAGTACCTGTGAGCACTGGCTCCATTTCAGGCAGTAAAACTCATTTACATTCTGCTCCCAGTCACCATTTTAGTTCAGATGTTACTAAGTTGTTGAGTTTTAACTGCTCCATGATGTCCCATATACACAGCACTGCACTCTAGTGACACAGGAGGATGTAACAGGAAAGTTAGACACTATATTCACAGAGAATTTAACCATACATCTATTGTGTAACAGAGAGCAACAGTTACAATCTACACATTTCCAGATAGCTGGAGCTGTATGCGAGCTTGATTTGAGACATCACAAACAGTCAATCCTGGTCCAGTCTGCAACTTATACAAGTGAAGCCACCAGTGACACTGAGAATGGATCTACAGTGAAGTAGGAGACATGTGACACACACAATTGTATTAACTTTTTATTAATTAATGCACATCTGGAGGGGATCTTTACATAAACCATGGAAGCATCATGTAGCTAAGACATGATACAAATAAGCAAATACAACATTTATTAAATTATATAAATGATCAGTTGGATCACCTGCTTCTCCAGACTTTACATGTTTCAAACACTGAAAGATTCCTGACAATGTTTTTACACTTGACTGCAGCTCAGAATATCAATTTAACTTTAACTGAACATTTTAACCAGCTTTATGATACTGGTTGTACAAGATCACCGAGGTTAGGATAAGTGCAGCCAGGAAACCCAGAGAGAGCCAGACTAAGGTGGACTTTGAGACACAGGGCCCTGGTCCCTTCTGGTCAGAGTGGTTGCAGAGTATCTGGACATTCGTGTGGGTTTGCAAATCCAGAATCTGGAGGCCGGGGACAAGATTTTAGTAAGGGGATTGCAGCTAGTTGTATGTAAATTCAAGATGTAAATGAGTCAAAGGTTTGTTAAAGTATGTAAATGTAACCCCCCTCTCAGCAAATGTATAAATGAAAATGCCAGACTCCCCAAAGGTGTCCTGTTTAAAGTGAAAATGTAATTTCATTTAAAGCTTCAGCATTTATAATTATCTACCCGTTTCATTATTTTTATGGTTACTATTTATAACACTAAAATAAAGATTATGTATATTTGTATTCTGTGGTTATTTTCTAAATTAGTGGCTAGCTCCCTCCCTCTCAGCAAAACCCATGTTTTTTTTTTTTTAAAAAAAATAGTTATCACAGTTTTAATCTTGGGTCATCACATAAACATGCATCTTATATCATGCCAGAAAACCGGGAGTCTTTGGATGTGTTTGAATACGGTGATCGCTGGCATATTGACTCCAGAAAAAGGAAACTAAAGTTCATTCTGGTCAGAGAGTTCAGCTGGACCCTTTTATCTTAATCTTTCACACAGTGTGACATGAGCTCTCTGAGATCCACTGTGTCTGTTCTTCATCCAGAGATCATGATGGAGTTCTTTATTGTGGTTTTGCTGTCTTCTCTCCCTGCGGTGGGGGTTACAGGTGAGATTGTCCTGCTTTAGTGAACAGGTAACAGACAGTGCTGGATTCAGCTCTTCCTGCTTTTTGATGTGGTTAAACAATCTCAGACTGTTACAGTTAAATGTTTTTCTAAAACCAGCTTGTTAATGCAGAAAAAGTAATGCTGAGAATCAAATGCTGTTCTGTTTGATCTGTTTTAGCTTCACAGTGATTTCCATTTTGGATAACATTTACAGATTGTATCAGCACGTCACCATTTTGAACGCATTCAGTCATAAACAATATAATCAGATGGTGTTATCAGAACTCAGTGGACTATGTACACTCAGTCAATGTTTTCCTTATTTAAAATATGTAATATTATATATAATAATAATTCAGTAGAACTTTCCGCAATGTGTAAAAACACATCGATAAAGAGTTTGTCCAAATACTGAGACATTAATGAAATCGTATTCCAATCAAATAAATATAAGTAAGTAATAAAACATTGAACATGAAGCAGACAAATGTTCATGGTAATGTTGCTTTGTCACTCATTAGTTTATTTCCAGCTGTGTGAACGCAGGTTGCTGGTTCCAATGCAGTTCTCTGCTTCTCTGTGCTTCATCTGTTGAGTCTGTGACCCAGAATAGACTGTAAAATAACTCACTTTACACTGGAGACACTCAGATCTCAGATCAGGTAAAGAAAGAACTCTGAGAGCACCAACAATTATATATATAGATATGACGCAGTGTGCACACAGATCCTGTATTTCCTCATTAGAGGATACAATACAACCTTTCTATGAGTAACTGGCTCAACCGGATTATTCTCTGATGTTTCTGCTGATACAGAACCAACATTTAGAGGAAGTGATATTTTTTTTTAGCACTTTATGTATAATGTGTTACGACTGTTTGAGGCGATCAGCTGACACAACTAACTTGTGATTAGTTCACACTGAATAGATCATCAGTTGAAGAAAGTTAATACACAGTTACTGCACACATTAACTGATATGTGACCAATTAGATGGATAAAGTTTATTTTCAATACCTTGCATTTGCTCAGCATTTATATTTCTGTGAGCCTCGTGTAGAGACTTGTTGACTTGTTAAATATTAGAAGGTACCTTTATTTTTCAGTATATATTTAAAATGTAATAAGATTTCTATGTGCTCATGTTATATAAACTATTTATTCACTGAAAATGTGATATATTGTGATATACAGTATATTGTTATCAGTCCTATATAGAATGACATATAGACCAATATATACAGTTATTTATAGGAAATAATCCTGCAGTCGATCTTTTGAGTTTTAATTTAAAAGGCACCACAGCCAGTTTGAAACAGGGCAATGGCAGCTGACTGTGTGAGTACCGTAAAACTTCCAATAAAAGCAGGGTCCCTAATAGACGCAGGCCCCCATTAAAAGCCTGATGTGGCTACACGTTTTGACAAATAAACGCAGGCCCCCAATAGAGGCCTGGTGTGGATTCTATCTAAATTATTTTGATGTATAAAACCTCTTAAAACCCACCGGGTCGCCCGCCTGAACGACTTTTAAGCCTTTTAGATCTCCTACACAAACATATGGTAAACGTTTAAACGTCCGTCAATATGGAGATAATGCACATCGTTAGATCAGTTAGATTCTCCACAGTTCAATCCTTCAGTTCATTTAACACAAACTATGAACACCAACGCATAATTCATTCAGACTTACCGGTAGCATGGTAAATAAGAGAGACGGAAAAAAAAGGCTTACTTCTAACGGTTCTGACGGTCTGTGTCCGTTCCTCCATTGTTTATATTCCTTCAATCTGCAAGGGTCCACGGATCAAAAGAATCAATGGGTTTCATTAAATGAATCCGAGTTGTGAATAATATCATGTGAAGTCCGTTGCTCACTGTCTGTTTTCTGTCTGTATGCTGGCTGCCGTAAATCTCCCGCTGCCGTAAAACGACGTTCACGTTCAGGCGTCATGGCGGCGGCACAGAGAAAAAAGTACGACCTGAAATTCAAGCTGTCCGTTGTCAAATGTGCCGAACAAAACTCAGGAGAAGCAGCAAGACATTTCTCTGTTGATCCAAAAAGAGTGAGAGAATGGCGACAGTAAAAGGGTGAGACTGCGCGGTGGAGGGAGGAAGAAGTCTAGTGAAGAAGGCTAAAGAAATTCACGCCACAGCGAGTGACAGCACTGATGTGGATGTCTTTGCTGGGCTGGCTTGATAAATTCCTCCATCGCAATAACCTGTCTGTCAGAAGATGTACAACTGTTGCTCAGAAAGACGCCAGGCACTTCACCGGGAAGCTGGTGAATTTTGTCACATTCACAACGCGTTTGATTGAGAAAAGGAAGGAACAGGTGAAGAACATCATAGCTATGGATGAGACGGCGGTCTGGTTTGATATGGTTGCCTCGACTATGGTGGATGTGAGAGGTTCCACTGAAAACTACGGGCCACGAGAAGATAGATCATACATGAAAATCACTCACCTTTCGGCGAAATTCGCCGTTTTGAAACCAAAATAGGTGACCTACGTGAATCGTGTAGATTCGATGAGAAAACGTTTGGGGGGGGTTGTAGGTACTTATACAGAGATTCAGTGCGAACAGGTGCGCGTGCCAGAAGGGAGCGCAGTCAGGAAATATTAGCACGAAGGGCCTTGCATCACAAGTTTCTTTCTCTGGGAAGGTCGGGGGGGGGGAATACCATTACCTGATTGGTTTACAAGCAGTTCGCTTCGCTCGTGTTTTAATATTTTCTGCTAACTTGTATAGCTAACGGTAAATCACAAAAAAGAAATAATAACATAACATTGTATTGGCTGTCAATCATGATGGAAGAGTAGACAAGTTAAGTTACAGCATGTCCACCATCTCTTGTGGGGGTTATGCATTAAGCCACATTGTGCCTCATATACTGTAAATGTTAGACCCAGTGACAGGCTGGCTGACAATGCTTCATGCATAATACTTAGTAAGGAGGACATAATATTTTTGACTCATGGCTGAAGTTAAGTTTCTCCAGCTCTCCCCAGGTTGGCAAAAAATGAATCAGATTGATGCTTTAAAATATGGAATATTCCAAATTTTCTTCCAGGGGGAGCAAGCCTCCAGACCCCCCTACAGGGGTAATATCCTTCTCACCTTTTTCACCCCTGACCTGTTTCCATGCCTGTACATAGATAGATAGATAGATAGATAGATAGATAGATAACTTTATTAATCCCACAATGGGGAAATTCACTTGTCACAGCAACATTTGAGTGAAATAAATACAGATATAAAAAACAGGAACATTTGCATACAGCAGGTCCAAGGTCTTATTGTCTCTGCTGGTGCATGTGACACACTGGTGGAAGGTTGGGAGTGTGGACGAGAGAGAAACGTGGTTGAAGGCCCCTGTGATGATGATGATGATGAAGGCCCCTGTGATGATGATGATGATGAAGGCCTCCGGGTGTTTCGTTTGTAGTCCTGCAGTCACAGTGTGGATGACGTCACACGCTGCTTCTGCTTTCTCAAACGGAGGAATATAGACAGTGATGATGATGATGATGATGATGAATATAGTCAGTGATGATGATAACACTGGAAAGTTCCCGTGGCAGATAACACGGACGGTGACAGCTCGATGTCCGGGCTGCAGACTCTCTTTCACACAGACGTGCCCGGTTGTACCACCTGTTGTTGATGAGCACGGACAGTCCCCCTCCTTTCTTCATGCCGGTCCCGGTGCTGTCCCTGTCAGCTCGAACCGTCTGGAAGCCGGGAATGGTGACGTTGGAGTCCGGTATCTGCTCGTGTAGCCACGTTTGTTTCCAGTGATGACTGCAGGGATGAAGAGTTTAAAGCTCCTCTTCTTCATCCTCCGTTTAACCCCCGCTCTGCAGCCTCACCGTCTCCTCAGCTCCTCCGGTATGGAGGCTCTCTCTCCGGTCAGGATGCTCGGGTACCTCAGGGCGATCATCTGGTCTCGGGTGTAAACAGTGCTCAAAAACGCCAAAAAAGTATTTAGGCGACGTGAACAAAGTAGTGAGAGAGTAAGAGAACAGTTAAAAATAGCAAAAGACACACTAAAACTCCAACAATGATAGGAGCTGCCTTGACAGGCTGCTGTTGTCTGAGTCACTTGACCGTGGTGCTGGCTGCGAGAGCGGACGGGACAAAACTGAAACCTTATGTGGTTTTTCAAAGGGAGAGTCAGGGAAGTCAAGGCAATGCAAACCATCAGTGGAGTGGTGGTAGCATCCTCCACTAATGGCTGGATGAATGAGGATTTGACTGCAGACTGGCTGAGAAAAGTGGCGGGAAAACATCTGCTAGCCTGGGATTCTTACCGATGTCACATCAGCGCTGCCACCAAAGTGGAGCTCAAACGGGGATACAACGTAACCATGGCTGTCATACCTGGAGGTTGTACCAAATACATCCAGGCCCCTGATGTCATGTGGAATCAACCGTTCAAAGCCAGTCTGCATGAATCGTATGACAACTGGATGGGAGGGGATTCAGACAAGGAATACACCACAGGCGGGAATATGAGAGCCCCAGCTCGGCGCTTACTCGTAGCCTGGGTCCTTAAAGCGTGGGACGAGCTGGATGCGGAGCTGGTGAAAAACTCCTTCAAGGTGTGTGTGTGTGTGTGTGTGTGTGTGTGTGTGTGTGTGTGTGTGTGTGTGTGAGCCCGCGCGCATTGTGGTCTACCTGATTTTTAGTTTTTTCCATACACCACTGATTTGTTAAAACCTGTGCAAATAAAACCTGAAATACCACAACTATGGTAAAACCTTCAGCTTTCATTCTTTCTAAGGTGCGCTCTCTCTCTCTCTCTCTCTCTCTCTCTCTCTCTCTCTCTCTCTCTCTCTCTCTCTCTCTCTCTCTCTCTCTCTCTCTCTGCACACCAGGTTGGCCTAGATGCGCTGTCTCTCTCAGAGCTAGACTAAGTGAATGATTAGTAATTCATATGTTGTTTGATATCCTAATTTTTTTTTTTTTTTACAAATAAGATTGATACTGTTTTAAATAAACAATAGTATTTCCCATATTTGGTGAGCAAGAATTTTGTGCTAAATTACTTAAACGCCTGTCTCTAATAGATGCACGTCCCCAATAGAGGCAGGGTGCGTTCAGTGATTTAAGCAAATAAACACCCGGGCTATTATTATTAGTTTTACGGTAGTTCATTTTAGGAGGGGCATTGCAGTCAGACATAATTAAATCTCTTAATCATAAAACCATTCAGAATAAACTAAATTAAGTCCTCAATCTTATAGTTTCTGACCAACAGACACTTTTTAACTCCTGGTATAATTTTTCCATGTAAATTCATTATTGAGGCCACATATACGATGAGAAGAAGGTTAGGAGCCAGGAGTCAACAGAAACAACCTCTCCCTGTTCCTTTATGTGCACACACACATTAAACACTGGTGGACACACACTGTCCTTTGAGGAGGAAAGTGTCTCCTCCCTCGTCTACAGAGGTGCAGCTGGACATTTGATGATATGTATTTTAACCTAACTGCTGTTTCTTGTTTGTTCTTTTGTTTTCCTCACAGCAAACTCACAGTTGATTTGTTCACATCAACCAATCACAGCCCTGCCGGGTGATGATGTCATTCTACCATGTCACCTTGAACCTCCCATCAGTGTTTCTGATGAGACAGTGGAGTGGACCAGACCTGATTTAGACCCAAAGTACATCCACCTTCACCAGGATGGACGATTTATATATAAAACTCAAAATCCATCTTACTTTCAACGCACGAGACTGTTTGTGGATGAACTGATGACAGGAAACGTCTCCATGAAAATCTTCAAAGTGAAAGTTTCTGATACAGGAAGATACCAATGTGCCCTTCCCTCATTACAGAAGGAAGCTTCCATCCAGCTCATTGTTAGTAAGTCAGACTGGGTTTTATAAAGGCAGAACATTGACTGAGCTCAGTATTTTAATTAAAGGTACAGGAGGACTGGAGGTTCAGCTCCTCAACCTTTAGAGATGAACCTGTACTGATCCCCAGATGGAGTGTGACTGAGTCTGAGGAGTAACACGTACATTGACCTGTGTGAGGGAGTGTAACAGTTGTTTGTAAAGGTTGAGCTGTGCATTGTGCATCACAAATGCTGCTCTTATAATTTAAAATAATACTGAATCATGAATCTGTCACAGATTCATCTTGTAAGAAAATGTAATGAAAATCAGTTTTCTGATTGATTGTCGGGGCGGATCTTGTTAAAACAGGACTCAAAAGCACGACTCATAACACAGAGATTCAGTTGAATTAGGGATGGGGCCGATCCGATCCAGTATCAGGACCGATACCAGCGTAATTCACGTATCGGAATTTCCCGATCCAACCTCTGCAGATTTCCAATATCCATGAGCCATGTCTGCACTTTAAGGTTGTCTGCTGAAATGACTCCACAGGTGATTCCTGCCGGCCAGTCTGCGAGCTGGCTGCAAACTGTGGAATGGATTTCCTGAACGGAGGCGTGGCTCAGTGAGACACAGAGTTATGAGACACGCCTCCGCTCAGGAAATATATTCCGCAGTTTGCAGCCAGCTAGCAGGATAGCATTGAGCAACATTGTGTGTGTGTGTGTGTGTGTGTGTGTGTGTGTGTGTGCGTGTGGTGTGTATGTTTACAGTTTTTGCACTTTTCTTATATTTCAGATAATTGACATTTTAAAACCTTGATTTTATTGATACTACAAGAGCCACTTGTAAATCTACTTGATTTGTGGTGTTCAGATGCACACTGTTTTATTGATAGTGTGTGTGTAAAATGTTTACACTTATTGCACTTTTCTTATATTTCAAGACTCAAATATTTGACATTTTGGGAATTTAATAAATATTGACATGACAATAAATTTGTTTTTGCATATTTGTTTTCAGAATGGGATTCTTCCTGTTAACAGGATTTCCTTTTCTGACCTTATACTTACCTCAAGTTGCCTTTTGGGACACACATGCATACATACGTACATGTCATAATTGCCTGTTGAGAGGAGTTTTTTTCAGCCTCATATAAAATCAACAATAATGATATTAATAATATTAAAGCAAACACAGCTCTGGTATCGGAATAGTATCGGTATCGGCCGATATCCAAATTTATGTATCGGGATCGGATCGGAAGTGAAAAAATGTGGATCGGTGCATCCCTAAGTTGAATAATCAGTTCACTTGTTTAGTAAAGTGCAGAAGTACACAGAAAATCCAACAATAGGGCAAACAAGTTCAAAATCCAAAAACCAAAGCTCATGAAACACAAAGGAATGCTGGGACATTTGATCAGAGACACAAAGACAAACAGAAGGGAGGAAACACTGAGGCTGCGTTTCATCAGTCGTTCACTGGCCCTCGGGGGAATCCCCGTCGCCATCATAAGTGTTGTTCCAATTGTCTGGAAAACTGAAGTGAACTTGGTGAGATGGACCCTCGGAGGGCTGAGGGAGCGAGTGAACAACGATGGTCACTCCGAGGTGGATATCACCCACAATGCATTGCAGTTTACGTCATTGCCGCTATAACGCCGAGTAAGGGCAAGTGCGTTTCATTTAAATCCCCCGCTCCTCCCCCACCCACTTTCCCTCCACGCTCCAAGTGGCCTCCGTGCGACGTATGCTGTTACGTCATACCAAGGGCTGAGGGGAAGTGAACGAGGGGAAGTGAACGAGGGGAAGTGGAACTACTAATGAAACGCAGCCTGAGACTATATACTACACAGGTGTGAGGGTAAGCAGGTGATTAGGGTGGAGCAAAGAATGACAACTGGAGGGACACATTATTTAGATTCATTTTAAAATGAACAGAAATTAATTTAATGATCCATTATGGGTGAGTGAAAAAAGAACATAAAGAATTATAGAAGGGATTATATGAACAGGACAGAGACAGAAATGTTTTTTTTAAGATAAGAATGAATTTGAACCGTCACTGGTGTTAAATATAAATGATGTTATAATGTATAGAATAATGCAGTTTAATGACTGTACCCACTGTCCTTTAAATAACAGTCACATTGTGAAACCTACAGTATAACCCAATGTATTTTACTGTTACTGGCTCAGATAAGTATGTATATTAGATTGTAATGTGTATGGAATAATGGAATTATACATGAGTTTTATTTGATTTGATATCTGCATTAAATATCGACCATCAGCCGCCCTGCTCTCTAAATATCAGCATTAACCATTAAAACCATATCAGTCCACCACTAATACTGTACTAATGAAATATTTTAATATCAGTGTTTAATGATTCTGTAACAGGAAGTGTAAATATGATGTTTGTCTCTGCAGGAGAGTCTGATGTGATTGGCTCAGACAAACCAGTTACAGTAACAGTCGGTGATAACGTCATCCTGCCATGTCACCTGGAGCCTCCATTCAATGTGAGGACTCTAACAGTGGAGTGGAAACGTGATGGAAAATATGTGCACGTCAGTCGACATGGGAAGGACTATCTAATTGATCAGGATGAGAACTTCAGAGGTAGAACATCTCTCTTCCATGAAGAAATGATCAGAGGAAACATTTCACTAAAACTGACCAACGTAACTAAACTGGATGCTGGAAGTTTCACCTGCAATGTTCCTAAACTGCAAAGTCAGGTCAAGAAAGGCTTTGTTAACCTCACTGTTGGTGAGTACAGCTAACATATTACACATTCAAATGAAATAAGAGAAAATGTTTTTAGCTCTTAAACACAGTTTACACATTTACAATTTAACACAATTGTCCAACAGAGCCAGTGGAGAACAGGAACAAAGGAGGTCAGACTGATGATATCAGTAAGTAAATATCTTATTTGTCTCCTCATCAGCTGTCATCTCCTGTTGGTCTGAATGTTATCACATATTTTAATATTTTATTTCATTGTTTCCACAGACACAGAGCCAGGTAAGTGCTGTCTTTACTGCAGTCCACAATGTACACAGATATCACTCCTGTTTCTCTCCTCCTTACAATATGAACCTGAGAATGAGCATAATATGACCTCTTTAACCTCAAAAGTAATCAGAGTAATTCTGAATGTAATGCTTCATTTGACAGGACGCCATTCTAACAAATAATGAACTCATTCATCATCTCAGAGCACACTGATAGAGGACTACTGAAAGGTCCAGTGTGTAACATTAAGGAGGATCTATTGTCACCGCCATGTTTCTACAGTAGCCCAGAACACATTTGGAAGTTTTATTCACTTGTTTGCAATCTGTAACTTCACCACTAGATGGCACTGAATCCTCCACAGCGGTCCTTTAAATAACCCTGGATCCTCGTATTTCTGGAGAATATTCTCACTGATAATACTGTTTGTTTACTGTTGTGCAATGAAAGAGATTCTAACCAACAGACAGTTTTGGTGGGATGGACTCCAAGTACACATTGAGACCATGAACAGGAGAAGTGGCTGTGGAAATATTGTTGATGGATGTTATCTTGGAACAGTGAAGAACAAATCTCAACATCTTTCCTCTGTTCTTTCAGGTGGTGACACTGGTAATAACACTGGTGCTAAAATTGGCATTGCTTTTGGTGTCATTGCTGTCATTGCTGTCATTGCTGTCGTTGTTGCAGTTGCTGTATTGTGGATGAAACGTAGAAATAGAAGTAAGTCAATAATCTTTTCTCTCTCCATTTTCTCCATTTAAAAAGACAGTTTACAGTTTTTCAGTCAGTCTTCAAACAACAGTGAACAGTGAAACAGGTTTTTCTTGCTGTAATGGTTCCTCCTGTTATACTGGACATTAAAGATCTCTTCCTAAAGTACTTTCAATGGAAGTGATGAGGGGAACAATCTACAGTCCACCTTACATGGAAACATGTTTTCAGAAGTGTATCTAAAGCTAATATCAGCTAATATGTGTTTATAACTCCATCATTTATTTAGAAATCCTTTATTGGGGGGTCTGCACCCTGCCTCTGATGTACAGTGTGTCTGAGCTTTCTCACTATCCTGCTGTCTGATTATGATGGTTGATCTGGGACAAGCTCCTTTACTTGTAGTTCCTCACTGTCAATAACAACAAGTGTCATCACTCCACTGCTGACTGACTCTGCTTGGGCTGATAAAATAATCGGCCTTTTCACTGACTGATAACTTGTTTTGTGTTGTTGATATGTGTTCAGCAGGACAACAGAGAGAGGCACCGAGGGACAATGATGCGGTCACTATACCTATGCTCAACATAAATACCAGTAAGTCCTGAATGTCTTCTGTCTCTCTGATTCCTGTATCAGTGTACGTTCTATCTGCCCCTGCTGTTTCAGTGAGTAATGTGAGTAAAATGCTCATGGGACATTTTTGAAGACACTGACTAATAACTGGTGTTGTGTCTCTCAGCGACAGACTGTGCAACACCAAACACGACTGGATGAAACGGGCAGAACAGGGAAGGTAGTCAGGAGGACAATGCAGAGGACAATGCAGAGGACAATGCAGAGGACAATGATGAGGGTAATGGTGAGAATATAGGCATGATGAACTTAAGAAATGTCAACTAGCATTTGATGATGACTCTTGATTGTTTGACCCACATACTGAATGAAAGAAAGTACTATTAACTCCATTATCTTTTTATTCTGGTGTCAAACTCATTAGATAAACATTGGTTTTCTAAGCTTGGTTAACAGGTAGAAGGTAGTGTTCTCCTGTTTGACCTCATGATGGTGCTGTTTTCTGTACCATCAATAAAATTGACTTAAAGTATCAAATGTAGACGACAAGGTCTCACTGTGCAGTAAAATGGTCCCTGTCAGTGTTTTACTGTTATATCTGATGTTTGGGATTAATGTCAAGTAAAGAAGTTGAATCAGTACTCCTACTTTTACTGTGTGTGCTGTGTTTTACTGAGTGTTTTTTACCTTTGGTACCTTTGCCAGCTCTGCATGTGGGTCACAGCAGAGTTAGCAACGTTTGAAGAAACAAATATTCTTGATTAAAATGCAGCTGCAGGGAATTGTTCAGATGTGTTGATTTTATAAACCACTGCAGGGACAGAGTCGATGTCTCTGCCCAATGTCAGTTTTTATTGTTTTTGTTATTGTGTTGTTTTGCTTCAAGTTATCTTGTTTTTCTGCCCTGTGAAGAACTCTGCAACATCTGTTTACTGTATATAAAATGTCTGTTTTTATTATAGAACCTTTTGATTTGGTCAAATATTCACAGCTAAACTCATATTGGACACTAGAAGGATGAAACTGTGATTGTTGTTTGTTAATAAAAAGATTTGTAGACTTGTAAATGACATTTTGTTCTTATTTGGTCTGAAATGAAAAGTAAGAAGTAAATCAAAGTCAGTCTGAGTTTGTTAGAACTTCATTGTGTATAACTCTCAGTAATTAATAGTAGAATATTTAAAGGATATTAATGTTCATTTCTCAATGCACAAACAGAATGATGCTACCTGAACAACATGAAGCTGCAATAGTTCAATGTATTACTGTATGTGAGAGTGTACCACTGTAGCTCCAACCTTTTCATTTGTCTACAACAATAATCCATCACCACTGTCTTCCTCTCAGTGGCTGCTCTCAGATCAGCTTTGGTGAGCAGTTCTGTTTTCAGTGTTTGTCTGTGAAACAACGTTCAGTTAGAAAGAACAAGGAAGAGTTTTACAGTTTTCATCGACATTGTAGTTGCTCAAAAGGGAAAAAAGACAACAACAACAAACAACATCCCAGAGGTTACAAACATTAATACATTTTGAGATGCAACTGTCAATCAATTATTCAAATCAATACATTAAATAATCAAAAATAGAATAGAAAACTGGGTTTAAATCAACCAGTCAAACACTAAAATACTAAACAAATAAATATTCTTCAAACTGTCTCTTATTAATACAATCTTTAATAACTAGACTGCTGTGCGTAATTGGTTTGTAGCCAAATGCACAAACAGTGATCCATCGGCTGAAACTGAAATGGAAGTAAGAAGAAGAAAATGTCCTTCATTAATCCTCAATGGGGAGATTCTTGTTTCCTTGTCTCCAAATACAATCGTGGACACACAGGGTTAATAGACATGTGACTGAGGAGTGATGGGCCTCCAGCAACAGTTAGGGGTTAGGTGACAGCTCAGCAGTGCACAGGAGGTGGAACGCTGTCTTAGTCATTATCCGGGGGGTCAGAGTCCGCTGAGCAATTAGACGTTAAAAAATATGTTTTATGTCTATTATGTGTCTATTTCTCATTGGGGTTATTCAGGGTTGTAAAGTTAAACCTCCTCCTTTCAACTCATCTCCACCAGGTTCAGCTAAACTCTAATCTAGGTCTTTTAGATACTGAGTGCTGAATAAATACAAACAGATGGTCAACTGGAATCAAGTAAATGTATTTAAGATATTGAGAAAATTGAAGGAAAAAATTACATCCTAACAATTTATATTGCCTCACGTTTGAGATTTTATATTTCCTTTTCTTCAGTAGGTTAGCTAAAACTATTTTACCGTACTCTAGTTAATTAAAGGGAAAGTCTGTTTAATTCTCATTATAGTAATCACAATGTCTTCATATTTGAATGGTCATATTTCACTTTTTTTAGTAAGTTGGCTAAATCTTTCAGTGGAATCCTGTATAGTATGACCTCCACTGTACTCATGGGAGATTTGGACTGATTTTATTGTGAAATCACAAGTCTCCTCCCACCTGGATAACTGCCACTGCTCTCTAAACCAGTCCCCCCAGGATTATAAAGCTCCACACTTCAGATCAGATTTCCTTCTTTTCCCTCCAAACCTCACCGAGAAGAACAAAGAGAACCTGCTAAAGGATTCTATGTTAAGAAGAAAAGAGAAAATAAGCTCAGATTGTGGATCCATTAATGATGTAAGTTTAATGATCTAACTTATTTATTGTTAGTAGTTTTGTTTGCTTTTAATTATTCAGATTTGTAACATTTCTTCAATATTCTTTTTTGTGTGGAAAAAATCAATCATCCACATCCATCAAACACCTGTGCAAACAATAACCGACCCACTGACTGTAATAAACTGTTGATCCTGTGTTTCTGTGTGCACACCACATAGGATGTTCAGTGAGCCAATGCAATAGCTTTTTCATTTATTATATGGTTTTGGAGAAAATTAAAGGAACAACAGGCTCAAATTACATTATAAGAATCATATTGTAATTCTTATTTTTTAAAGGAAAGTTGGCTCCGTTTTCATTTAAAAATCATTATGGCCTTAAATTTGAACAGCCCTTCCTGAGAAGGTTAGCCAAAACTTTCAGTGTTTTTTGTTTCTAGCCAATGAAAAGCCTCACTGGCTGCAAAAATACTATGTGAGTCAACACTAAAACACCAAAATAAAGTAGAGAATGAAAAAAGAAATGAGCTCTAGAAATATTCTCCTCCACAGTTCATTGTGTGGGAAACAACCAGCTGCTCTGGTTTAAATTGTGTCTCTAAGAGAGGCGAATATGTTGCACATGTTGTAGAAATTCATTAACTAATACATTTTAATATTTAATATACAATGATATAAATGACATCTTCAGAATATTGTGCTTTCTTGTAGAACTTAAATGTTGAAGGTGCCTTCCTACAGGATGACATTAACAGTAGTGGCCCCAAGAAGTTTGGGACCCCTGGTTCATAGACCCTCCTTACCATAGTAACCCTACGTAAGGCCCAACGAAAGACATGAAGTTTCTTCTGCTGTTGATGTGTCTCTGTCTGACAGACGATGGTGAGTCCACTGAGCAATTTATGTTGTTATATCTATTATATTTCTATTTGTCTGTACACGTTTGGTTTGGATTGTTGAAAGTGTTTTTAAGTTCTTCTTAAATCTGAATGGGTTGATGAGGCAGGGATGCCTGAACTACTTTAATCTGCTCAGTCTGACAAATAGTTTTTCTTCCGTTTATATTTCTGTGTTCATTTAAAGAGGTGTGTTCTTTGTGTGTGTGTGTTGTGTTTATGTGGTTACAGTGTGTGTGTGTGTGTGTATAACTGTGTGTGTGTGTGTGTGTGTGGTGGTGGAAGAATAGCTGATGCTTGGCTGGGGTTTATTCTACTTGTCAAAATGCTAAAAGGGGAGATTTTATTCTCTTTTTTTATTACTCATTTGTCTGTAGGCGTTGGGTATCAAGTTTTTCAGGATTGAAAAGTGAAAGTGTTAGCAGAGGTCAAATCTTATCATCCATCAGTAACGTCTGTTACATTTAGACGTTGAACCTTCCTCTTTTTAGCTCAACTCTTTAACCTACAGGTCTTTTAGACATTGAATAAATGACACAGATGACCAACTGCAATCAAAGAAATGTATGGATCATTGTACAACACAAGGTTGTGTAATAAAATGATACACACACAGAAAAAGACCATTAGAGTTAAGACTGTGTGTTATGTGCATAAATATCATGGGAACATGAACATATTTTGCTCTGTCCTTTATGTTGAAGGGTGTTGATGAGACAGTAATGCAGAATAAGCTTTTCACTGTTTACCCAAAAAACACTTGTAATCTTTTCATCTATCCTCTAGTTGAGCTGAGTTTAAATACAGAGTCTGTGTCATTGGCCAGTTGAGTAACAACAGTCTGTTCATCAAAAACCTTTAATTTAACAATATCTGATGCTTTGATTACCAGTAATTCTACAGCTTCTGAAAGTACAGGTGAGTTGGAGCAGGTGGTTTAATGCTTGTTCCAGCATGTAAGAATAAAACCATTGTCAACGGAAAGAACCTCACACTTGTTCTTTTGTGTACACATTAAACACTGGTGGGCACAGTTCCCCCTCCCTCGTCTCTAGAGGTGCAGCTGGACTTTTGATGATATGTATTTTAACCTAACTGCTGTTTCTTGTTTGTTCTTTTGTTTTCCTCACAGCAAACTCACAGTTGATTTGTTCACATCAACCAATCACAGCCCTGGCTGGTGATGATGTCATTCTACCATGTCACCTTGAACCTCCCATCAGTGTTTCTGATGAGACAGTGGAGTGGACCAGACCTGATTTAGACCCAAAGTACATCCACTTTCACCAGGATGGACGACTGATGTTTGACTATCAAAACCCATCTTATTATCGCCGCACAAGACTGTTTATGGATGGACTGATGACAGGAAACGTCTCCATGAAAATCTTCAAAGTGAAAGTTTCTGATACAGGAAGATACCAATGTGCCCTTCCCTCATTACAGAAGGAAGCTTCCATCCAGCTCATTGTTGGTAAGTCAGACTGGAACTTTCTTACAGATGTATAAAGGCTTTACTGTGAACAAATAAAACACCTTTAAAAATAAATTCTCAATTCAGACCATATTGGGAAACAACATGCTCAGTGATTCTGTAACAGAAAGTGTAAATATGATGTTTGTCTCTGCAGGACAGTCTGATGTGATTGGCTCAGACAAACCAGTTACAGTAACAGTCAGTGATGACGCCATCCTGCCATGTCACCTGGAGCCTCCATTCAATGTGAGGAGTCTATTGGTGGAGTGGAAACACAATGGAAAACCATCGTGCATGGTCTACACGAAACAGGAAGGACTATCTAGATCTTCAGTATGAGAACTTCAGAGGTAGAACATCTGTCTTCCATGAAGAAATGATCAGAGGAAACATTTCACTAAAACTGACCAACGTAACTGAACTGGATGCTGGAAGTTTCACCTGCAATGTTCCCAAACTGCAAAGTCAGGTCAGGAGAGGCTTCATTAACCTCACTGTTGGTGAGTACAGCTAACATATTACACATTCAAATCAGAGGAAATTTTATCTGTTATGTGTTTTGTATTAATTGTCCAACAGAGCCAGAGGAGAGCAGGAACAAAGGAGGTCAGACTGATGATATCGGTGAGAAAATATTTCATTTGTGTCTCTATTCAATGTCGTCTACTCTTCCTGTTGGCCTGAAGTTTATCACATATTTTCATATTTAATCTTTTTTCCTCAGACACACAGACAGGTACTCCTGGTACTTACTGCAGTTCATGATTGCACTGAAAACAGGAATATTGAATATAAAATCATGAAAATGAGTTCATCAGACTCACATTGACATTTTCTGTTGTTTCATTATTGTAAGAACGATGCATGATTGATATTTTTTAAATGAACTTACTGCCCTGCCATACTGCAAAGTACCTCTAGGGGTACAGTAGCCCCATCTGAGAAACACTGCATTATACAACAGTCTCCCTCAAAGGTCAAATCAGTGTTTTAGAGCTCTGCTCAAAGTTATTCTCAGTTTCATTTCATTGATGATTCCCTGATTTGTTCCTATCATTTGTCCCGTGTCTTTGTGACAAAGTGGATTCATCCACGCCATCTGTCACTTGTGTACCTTTCTGTGTTTCATTTCTAGCCTGACGTCATGGGGCATCTAAGAGGGAAAGGCTGGCTGAGAGGGAGGGCTTGTGCTGTAAATGTTGTTTTTCTTTTGTTGTTATGAGTTGATTTAGCCTCAGTTTCTTATGTAAATATTTTTTCTGGTTTCCTTGTTTTATACATTTCCTGGAAGCACCTGTAAATAAATGTCCATTTATGGGACCGCCAACAAAGCCTCTTGAGTCTGCTTGACCCAAGTATTGTGACCATGAACCACAGAAGAAGTGGCTGTGGAAATATTGTTGATGGATGTTATCTTGGAACAGTGAAGAACAAATCTCAACATCTTTCCTCTGTTCTTTCAGGTGGTGGCACTGGTATTAACACTGGTGCTATAACTGGCATTGTTGTTGCTGTCATTGCTGTCGTTGTTGCAGTTGCTGTATTGTGGATGAAACGTAGAAATAGAAGTAAGTCAATAATCTTCTCTCTCTCCATTTCCTCCATTTAAAAAGACAGTTTACAGTTTTTCAGTCAGTCTTCAAACAACAGTGAACAGTGAAACAGGTTTTTCTTGCTGTAATGGTTCCTCCTGTTATACTGGACATTAAAGATCTCTTCCTAAAGTACTTTCAATGGAAGTGATGAGGGGAACAATCTACAGTCCTCCTTACATGGAAACATGTTTTCAGCAGTGTATCTAAAGCTAATATCAGCTAATATGTGTTTATAACTCCATCATTTATTTAGAAATCATTTATTGGGGGGTCTGCACCCTGCCTCTCATGTACAGTGTGTTTGAGCTTTCTCACTATCCTGCTGTCTGATTATGATGGTTGATCTGGGACAAGCTCCTTTACTTGTAGTTCCTCACTGTCAATAACAACAAGTGTCATCACTCCACTGCTGACTGACTCTGCTTGGGCTGATAAAATAATCGCCCTTTCCTATCTCACTGTACTGATAACTAAAAATGTTTAATGACTGATAACTTGTTTTGTGTTGTTATTATGTGTTCAACAGGACAAGAGAGAGAATATCTTCCAGCACAGAGGGACAGCTGAAGCAATCCCGTTGGAATAATGACAGAAAAATCAGGTACCTCCAGTAAAACATCCTGGTTGTCACGATTCTGAGGCTGAACCCAAAAGCATTATGGTCTGGAGACTGGCTGAAGTCTGGGGTTTGAGTCCTGTGATGAAGGTGGTAGAGGCAAACTGGTGCAGAGAGCTGGCAGACAGGCGAATCTGGTAGCAGAGGAAACCGTTATAAGAATTTGGTAAGCTGGCTAACAAGTTCAAAGGAGGTGAAGCAAGGCACACAACATACTGGGTGTGGTACAACGATCAAGCAGGGACTGGATGTCAGCCAGGCTTCTTATAGTGGTGAGGTGCAGTCTTGATCGAAGGCAGGTGTGCTTGATTGTGGGTGAGCAGCAGGTGAGTGGAGACAGAGAGAGAGGACAAGGGGGGAAGAACAAGCAGACAAACCCAACAAGAAACAACCTCACTAACACCAAGGTAGAAAACAAAACCACATAATCCCACAATCACACACCAGGAGTGATGACAGGTTAATCAGAAAAAATAACCAACATGCACATTAAGCAAAGATAACAATGTTCTGATGTGAAAATGTCAGAATGTGTTTTTCTAAAGGTTCATACAGTCAGTACAGACTGAAGTTATGTGAGAGCTTTTCCTTTGTATTCACCATAAACTGGATGATCCTGTTTGACCTCATGGTGGCGCTGTGTATCAGTAAGTATCATCTGCAAGTACTCAGTGTGCAGTAAAATGTTCCCTGTCACTGTTTTACTTTTATAAATGATGTTTTTGGTTTCATTTTTTTTACTGCATTTCACTGTTGTAGATATTTATGGTTGAACTCATTTGAAGTACTTTGTGGGTCAGTACAGAGCAGAGTTATGTTTGAAGAAGAAATACAGACCATTTCATCCAGAACTTCTTTCTATGTGAATGTTGATTGTGTAATATTCTTGATTGAAATGCAGCTGTAGGGAATTGTTCAGAAGTTCTTTCTGATGTGTTGATTGTATAAACCACTGCCAGGACAGAGTTGGTGTCTCAGATACTTTAACTGGATTCAATCTCTGTCCAATGTTAATGTCCAGCTCCCTCTATTGACTTTTACATTGTAGAATTGTTTAACCAGAAGGAATAATGAAAAGCACTTTTATTATTTTAAGGTACCATTGTTAAATTGTGTGTGTAAGTATCAATGGTTGCATTTATTTCCTTACATTGTTTAACTCCCGGTATTTTATTTATTCATTGTTTCTGCTTCATGTTATCTTCTTTTTACTGCCCTGTGTGTGAAAATCACCATACTGTATGAAATGCAGTCTGCTGTCATATAACAGCTGTCTGTTCTGTATACTAACATCTGGACTGCAGGAGGCTGAAACTGTGATTGTTTGGAAATAAAAAGATTTTTGTTTTAACTTTTTTTATGACATTTTTTTAATAAGTTTGCATTGAACTCAACATTTCCTCCCTCAGGGAATAATTATAAACACTACTGTTCATCCATTTTATTGAATTAAACAATTAAATACTCAACTCTCTGGTCATCATAACGTCTGGAGATATGTGCACATGCTCTATGTACTTTATATTGTTAGTGTCATTTCTTCAACACTAGAGGGAGCCACACAACAGGACAGTGTCAACATCAGCTGCTCAAAATAAATATATTCTAAATAAATAAGTAAAACTGAAACATCATCAACAATAAAGCAGAACACACAAACAGGGAGGGGAATATATATCAGGTGAGTTTGATTATCTGACAGTAAGAGGTAAACTGTTAGAGAGTTTAAGGTCGGTCTTCATTATGAAGTGGAGCTCAGGGAACTTGCAGTGACCCTGGTCAGCTGACCTGAGAGACTTTAAGATCCAATATGGATGCAGTCATTCAGAAATGTGCTCAGGGGCTCCACCATGTAGAGCCTGATATATAATAATGGTAATAACTCAACTGTTGTATTCTAAACTCTACTGGCAGACAATATAAGGTTTCTATCTACTGTAATATCAACTGAGAACAGAGGGAAGTGTATAAACTGATAGATAATGTTTTAATGCTTTGACCAATGGTGATGGATTTGGACCAATAAGAGCTGGGTAAGAGGGTGGCTCTTCCGCCTCCAGGAAGTCAAACATAACAAACACACATGGCCCAGACAGAAACCTCTGATTGGCTGAGTATAGATAGATAGATAGATAGATAGATAGATAGATAGATAGATAGATAGATAGATCAAAGATATACCTATACGAGTAGGGCGGGTCTTTGCTTTCAGTGGCTGACATGAGAAGTGGCTTTGGCTAAAGTCAGCCAATCAGAGGCAGAGGAGAGCAGGTCAGGATATTTTCATCATCATTAGTGGAAGAAACAAACAGGCAGAGAGATGAGTTTGTCTGACGTAGTGTTTGTAGTTCATTAGAATATTTTAGAGTTTTGTCCTGTTTCTTTGTACATCTTTAAAAACAACCTTAATAAGGCTTAAAATACTGTAAATAATCCACACATACAGATGTTACTTTCATCTTTTCTTCTTTCTCACAGAATGAAGTGTCTGCTCTCGGTATGAACGCAGCGGCTCAGGCGGCCTGTGTGAACAGATCTGACCCTTTAACAAGGGCCACATTGTGATGGCTGGACGTGTCGGAGCATCTCCAGAACTGCAGCTCCTGGTGGGTTTCTGAGTTCTTGTCCCCGGTGTTAGGTATCATTACATTGCTAAGAGCTCTCGTTCTCTCATTCCTAGCCACAATATGTTATTTCATTTTATTCTCCACAACCATTTGGTTACTATAATTTCTATATCAATTGTGTTTTTAACTACTTTATATATTACAACAGGAAGATTTGTTAGTCAGGTGACTGAATGACAATCATATCATGGACCTAACCAGCCACTGTGTGTTCAGTGTCCTGGTGGTGACAGCATGCCCATTTTGACCACTAACTTTTAGTTGTTTTTTCTGTTGCTTGGGAGTTTATTAGAAATTACTGAACCACTTTAACATTTCCAATCCTTTTTCTTTTGAAATAAATTAATAAAGTTCAACAAGCTGGGACCGCCTTTTGTAGTAGTAGGTAGGTAAGTAAGTTTTATCCTTTCAAATCATGCCCTTCATATGGTGTGACAGCAGTGCAGGTAATGAAACAGACATTAGGATACTAATACATTTACTACATTTTACTGCAGTCAAGTAGCCTACTGTATCTGCTTTATTAACTATGTTTATTAATTATCTAAGCCGAGAGGCTTTGTTCTGAGCTCATGAAAAGTTGACTTTTTAGAGATAAGTGATTCTCACTGGACAGCCAGGCTGCAAACATATGATGATCGTAACCTATTATAATATGCATTCCTCTAGAGTTAAGCACTCAACAGTAAATATAGTTAAAATGATGACAACCTTAAACATACCGCAATGAGAATAATAAACATCATATATTAAAAAAATTCTGGTGCATCCATCTGTAGTGATGCTGCCAGATATTTGAAACTGCTGGTCAATGAAGTGTGCTACTTCAGCTATATCTGTCTTATGTCGTCTTTGCCAGAGTGGATTCTTTTGTAGCTTTCTTTCTAGGGTCCAGAGACTGATATAAGATCTCACAATTTGTGAATCCACGTCTAAAGTAGTCTTCAATAACAATATCCATTTGGTCACCCAAACTTTGTCTCATTCAGTTGCTTCTGTTGCTTTGGAGCATATAAGGAAACAACACACAGGCCTATTCTAATTTAAGCTTCTCATTATATTAAGATACTAAGTCAAAATACTGAGAAAGTATCTCATCATTTTGAGAAAGTTTCTCATTATAATGAGTCATATTAATGGAAATGGGCTTCCATAAAAAATAGATAACATTAGAAACATCTCATCCTAATTACTGGATTTCCAATGCATTAGAACCTTATGGGATGGTAATGATTCTTAAATGTTAATGGAGACACAGAGTTATGGCTTGTGAAAAACTTATATTGTATACTGTATATTTTGATTATAAAACATATGAAATAAAAAATTATCTCCTTTTTTTGCCTGAGATTCTAGGTGTCTATTATAAAGAATTAAAGGAGGCCATTTATTCCTGATAATGGACAGCTTGTTAGGCATTATCCTTTGTATAGTTTGCACGTACTACCATTGTTACACATACAGAAGCTGTGGCTAATGTCAATTAAACACAAGGGCTAAGTTGCAGTGTGTCAGGTTCTTTCAGCCACTGGTGAAAAGATTTTCTCACAACATGAACCATGTTTCTCTCAGGTCATTCTGTGGTGGTTAATATATCTCAGCCAATAGTGGCAATAGTAGGTGAAGACACCATCCTTCCCTGCCACCTGGATCCTGCCGTAGATCCTGCCTCCACGACTCTAGAGTGGTCCAGACCTGACCAGGGACACAGATTTGTCCATGTGAGGCATGAAGGCGAGGACGCACTGACTGATCAAAACCCGTCTTACAAAGGAAGAACGTCAGTGTCCAACAACACACTGAAGCAGGGAGACGTCTCACTGAAACTCTCCAGAGTGGAACTCTCTGATAACGGGACATACAGACGCTATATTCCAAAACTGAACAAAGAGTCTTTCATCAGTCTTGCTGTTGGTAAGTAGAAATATCACAATGTGATGAAATGCTCATTGTTAGGGAAAATGGATGATAACATGGTGGAGTTTTAAAGAATGACAAACAAGAACAAGGTGTTCACTTCTACATAAACACATTGCTGTTCTGTGTTTTATCGTTTCAGGTGACATGCCGCCTCCTGCTCATAAGATTGTTCTGGTGGTGGCAATACCCATCATGATCCTTAGTTTGATAGTTGTCTGTCTGACCTGTGACAAAAGAGCAGGTGATGCTGAAGGTTCTGGTTCTAGGAGATGTCGAGAGTGTTGTTCTGACTGTCCTGAATGTTGTCTTAAGACGTGTAATTACTGTTGTGAAATCTGTATGGAGTTGCCTTCTATAATCACATAGGAAGCTTTACTGGCAGAAAGACGATTCTTGGTTTATATTAGTGTATAATCACCTTAAAATAAGAATCATTGTGTTATTATGTTGAACTGCCATGTTTCCTACACATTTGGAAGGGAGGGTGATGCAAGTGGTATTCAGTGATGCAAGCAGTATTCATTCACTAAATGTGTAATTTTACATGCATTTATTATGCATCATCTTGTATTGCCTCTGTGCTCAAAGGTTTCATACAAGTAAAGTTGTCTTGCCTGCTCACTTGTAAAGTAAGTGTGAAAAAAAAAATTTTATCTTCTAATTCTATTTGATGTCTGACTTTTATTTTGAAATAAAAGATTCTACAAATGTCTGTTTTGTAGTTATTTAATTTGTGTATGAACAGTTATGTTAATTTTAACATTCCTTTAAAAAATGGGATAATATTTCGGTTTTTCAGTCAGTTTATTCTAATTTCAACAATGCTGCTCATCAGATCTTTCACTTTTCAAAAACTGTCCATCTTCACCTTGGCTCCAAGTTAGTCAGTTACTCACTGACTAAGAGTAACAAATGTCAAAAATTATTAAGTATAAAACTCAAACTGTTTTTTCAAAGAAAGAAAAGACTGCCAATCAGTGCTTATATCTCACTGAAAACTAAAACCCAAACTAGATATTCAGGACTACTGATACAAGATAGTAACGGTGAGATTATTACCACCTCAACAATGTAACAATTAGGACTATAAACATAAGTAAAAAACAGAAAGCCAACTAATGTTTTCTTACAGGAGCCCTTTATATTACAACAAAGTTGTTCAAACTAGGGGAAACAGTGATACTTTTTTCATATTACTTAAAGCAAACAATGACCTCTTACAGTCACTTATAAGCAGCTTGTAATGAGTTGTATTACACCAAATGTCCTCAAGTGTAATCATATTATTAATCAAATTTTGGTTATTACTTCCTGGGTACCATCATAACCCCTCAAGGACCTTAACCAAAAAAGTCCAACAGAGGATGTACTTCCTGTGGCAGCTGTGGAAGTTTAACCTGCCAAACACGATGATGGTACACTTCTACAAAGGCAGACTGCCGCGTATCAATCGCTACGCAGAGAAGGTGATCGTGTGACGGATAGAATAATATGTAATACCAGTAAGTCAAAGCAAGTAATAGAGTAACATTAAATGTCCTCATCTTTAGTATTTTTTCATTTTATATCATAGTTTATGGTTATAATGTTTATTGTCAGTTGCAGCAGTTACAGTACAGTAGCTTTGTGTTTTCTTATATTTATGTTCCAATTGTCTAATACCAGCAGTAGTAAGGGTGGTTGTAGTTACCAGAGGACTCCAGCAGGGAGAGCACAAAATTGTTGAGCTATGTGCAACTTGTTTCCTCTCTTAAGTCGTTACACACATGATCTGAGGAAAGTTTGTGTCTGTGCATCATTTAAATACAAATACTCCCCTTTTGTTCCAGGGCTTTTACAATCGGCTGCAATTTGTCATCCCTCCAGGAAACTGTATGCCCTGTATAAATTGAGACGGACCCCTATCACCTCAGACACAGACTATTTCTTTCCTCTGTAAAAACTTACTTGGCAATAAACCTGATTCAGATTCTGATTCTGAATAAGATGACTGTTCATCCATGAGAAGAAGGTTAGGAGCCAGGACTCAACAGAAACAACCTCTCCCTGTTCCTTTATGTGCACACACACATTAAACACTGGTGGACACACACTGTCCTTTGAGGAGGAAAGTGTCTCCTCCCTCGTCTACAGAGGTGCAGCTGGACATTTGATGATATGTATTTTAACCTAACTGCTGTTTCTTGTTTGTTCTTTTGTTTTCCTCGCAGCAAACTCAGAGTTGATTTGTTCACATCAACCAATCACAGCCCTGGCTGGTGATGATGTCATTCTACCATGTCACCTTGAACCTCCCATCAGTGTTTCTGATGAGACAGTGGAGTGGACCCGACCTGATTTAGACCCAAAGTACATCCACCTTCACCAGGATGGACGACTGATGTTTGACTATCAAAATCCATCTTATTATCTCCGCATGAGACTGTTTATGGATGGACTGATGACAGGAAACGTCTCCATGAAAATATCCAAGTGAAAGTTTCTGATACAGGAAGATACCAATGTGCCCTTCCCTCATTACAGAAGGAAGCTTCCATCCAGCTCATTGTTGGTAAGTCAGACTGGGTTTTATAAAGGCAGAACATTGACTGAACAAAAGCACGACTCATAACACAGAGATTCAGTTGAACAATCAGTTCCTTTGCTTAGCAAAGTGCAGAAGTACACAGAAAATCCAACAATAAGGCAAACAAGTCCAAAGGAATCCAAAAACCAAAGCTCATGAAACACAAAGGAATGCTGGGACATTTGATCAGAGACACAAAGACAAACAGAAGGGAGGAAACACTGAGACTATATATTACACAGGTGTGAGGGTAAGCAGGTGATCAGGGCGGAGCAAAGAATGACAACTAGAGGGAAAGACACAGAGACAGGAAGTGAAAGGAGAGGGAGAGGTAGGTACAAAATAAAACAGGAAACACACAAAATGAAACTTCAAAATAAGACAGACTATGGTGACTGATGAGCAATGACAGATCTATCTGTAAGTATGTCTGGTCACTCAGTTTGGGGTGACACATTATTTAGATTCATTTTAAAATGAACAGAAATTAATTTAATGATCCATTATGGGTGAGTGAAAAAAGAATATAAAGAATTATAGAAGGGATTATATGAACAGGACAGAGACAGAAATGTTTTTTTAAAGCTAAGAATGAATTTGAACCGTCACTGGTGTTAAATATAAATGATGTTACTAATACTGTACTAATGAAATATTTCAATATCAGTGTTTAATGATTCTGTAACAGGAAGTGTAAATATGATGTTTGTCTCTGCAGGACAGTCTAATGTGATTGGCTCAGACAAACCAGTTACAGTTCAATGTTAGTTTCTGTTCAATGGGCTTTGCCATAACTGAGTGAATGTGTGTGAAAGGGTGAACGTGGCACGTAGTGTAAAAGCGCTTTGAGTGGTTGGAAGACTAGAAAGGCACTATACAAGTACAGGTCCATTTACCACTTTGACATGCAGCAAGAAGAGCCAGGGATCAAACCAACAACCTTCTGATTAGTAGACAACCCGCTCTACCTCTGAGCCACAGCCTCCCATAACTTAACCAAATGGTTTAAATGTCTAAACTTAAACGTGTGTTAATCAGAGCGGTCAAAGAACAGAAAATGCTCATGGGACATTTTGGAAGGCACTGACTAATAACTGGTTTTGTGTCTAACAGCGACGGACTGTGCAAGACCAAACACTACAGGACGCAACGGGCAGAACAGGGAAGGTAGTCAGGAGGACAATGCAGAAGACAATGCAGAGGACAATGCAGAGGACAATGCAGAGGACAATGCAGTGCAATGATATAAAAATGACAGAAGTTCTTTTTGATATTTGTTGCGATTGGTAACTTTTATAAAAATAACTTTTAAGTGTTGGTATTTGATTACCTGGGAATTAACAATCGGTTATCTTTCTTGCCTCTCATTGGTTGTTTTTGTTCAGGTGGATTATTGCAAATAGCATTAGGAGCACTAGGAGGAGCGGATTATCTGTCTGTCTACTGTCAGGATGTAATGAAAGCTTCAGAAAATACGACAAAAAGTTATTTTTATCTAAGTTACCGATCGAAGCTTTAACCTTCACATGACTATATCTGTTTTTATTTTTTATTCATTGTCCTGCTGTATCTAGTCCAGTGTGTAACATTCAGGAGGATCTGTTGGCATAATAACGTAATATTCATAGGAATGTTCTCCTAAAACAATGATACCTGTTATCATTGTTTCTCCTACACTCTTGGAAGGCAAATTGAATTCAAATGATTAGACTGGTTCCCAGTAAATCCTTCACACTGGACCTTTAATAGTGTGTTTGTAGTGCGCCTCATGTTATCTAGCTTCTTTTTCTACTTCAACATCTATTTTAAAAAGCACTATACTGTATATATAAAATGGTTCTAGTTTTATACCAGCATGCTCAAAATCACACATGGAGGGTCATTTTTATAAACTGAAACATCTGGACACTAAGAGACTGAAATATCATCCTGAAACTGTGATTGTTGTTTGTTTATGAAAATAAATGTATTTTTTAACTTGTTCATGGCCTTTTTCTTACATTTTTAATTGATCAACATTTCCTCCCTCATTAAAGGACTTTTGGTTTAACACCAGTTCCTGAATTGGGCTAAAAAAGGTGCAAATTCAGCACAATCCTAACCACAACTTACCTGTAACCAATACTTTTTGCTGTTTTCTCTGCATTAAACTAGCTATGTGTTTACAAAGAGACACAGTTACACAGGCAATAATTACCCCCTGTATTCTCCCCCTATTCTGCCCCTCACATTTATTTTTTCTAACTGTAACCATTTCTATATGGCTCTGATCCTAACCAACCAACCAATGAAGGCAATGAACACGAGCCAATCAGAGGAGTGTTCTTATGAGGGGGCTGAGGAGTGTATACCTAGACTCACCAGGAGGTGGCACCACACAGTCAGAAGTAAGGGTGCTCATGTGGACAGAAATCACAAGTCCTCAGTACCTGTGAGCACTGGCTCCATTTCAGGCAGTAAAACTCATTTACATTCTGCTCCCAGTTACCATTTTAGTTCAGATGTTACTAAGTTGTTTGTTGTTGTGTCTTTTTGTGCTGTTGTGTTTTAAATAGTTTTTTGAGGAGTAGATTCCTTAAAACGTGTGTGTGTGTGTGTGTGTGTGTGTGTGTGTGTGTGTGTGTGTGTCTTTGCAAATCCAGTAAGCTTGGCCCTGACCTCTGACCCCTTGTGGAGGACGCCGGCAGATCAATACTTTCTGTTATTATTAGGGTTTTGAGAAGTGTTCTTACCTCGAGCCCAGCTTCTGTACGTGTATACACAGAAGATGAGTATGGCATTGTAGAGGATGAACAGCAGGATGGCACACACCAGGTTGGGCAGAGACATCAGAGGAGGAGGAGGAGGAGGAGAAAAACCTGTAGAGCCAGAGTTTCAAACATGAAACATAATCAGTTCTGTTCTTATTCAAATATCTGCATGTGAATACAGAATCTGGAGGCAAGGGACAAGATTTTGGTAAGGTTAGCAGCTGTGGTTTATTTTTGTAGTGCGAGTTGTATTGACCAATCATGTTTGAGCGGGCTTTGGTTGGCTGCAGGTGAACAGTCTGTATGGAGATGGAGCAATCTCAGAATCCGGCTGTCATCTTCCAAAGATGGACCACTTTATTAGCTTTTTAAAAATGGATGTATATCTGTTTATAGAGATCATCTGAGATTAACCCACATGATTAGCTTGTGTCTCAAGTCGCTAATGGGACTGTAAACAATAACCGGTGCGTGGAAGAGGAAGACTTGGATATCCATTATCCCCAGAGGCTAAATCGAGGCCAGACGATAACTGAGACTGCTGTAATTCAAATGCATTAAAAAACAAAACAAATTAAAACAATGAATATTGAATATTTGTTCAAGTTTTTTAAATTTGAAATTCAGTTGTTCATTGAAGGGACAATGATGGCTAACGTCTCAACAACTCTGCGGGTATGTGAAGCTGCCGTGGTTAAGTTTTAGACAGCAGAAATCACAGCTAGAAAACTTGAAGACTTACTAGAAGACTAATAACTGAAGAGTAGAGCTTTGGTACATATCATGGACATGGGCTGGGGATGAAGAACCCACAAAAATTTGCACTGACTCTGCAGCTTTACAGCACTCCTTAACCTCTTTATGTCATTGTTTTGGTTTCACAGCACATTAATGAAGCTACAACATCGTTGATATTTAAAAAAACTATTATTCAGCTTTTGAAGATGAAGATTAAATACCATTGTGTAAAAACACACAATAAACCTGCCACAAGAAAAGCTATCTGAGTCACATTTCAGTGAAACAGGATGTAGAGAAACTACATAAAGACATTGATAGACTCAAACAAAGTTAGACTATACTCATCATACTTCACCATGAAACTAACAATGTGATGTGACAGCCCCAACCACATCTTTTCACTTCTTCATTCGATTTTTCTGAGTGGGAAATAAAAATCAGCTTGTAAGTTCACAATTGGCCTAAATTAAATAATACATTTATTTATAAGCGCTTTTCTAAATACTCAAAGACAAAAGTAAATTATTGCTAATTAAGTTGTGATTCATGAATTTCTTAAATAAAAGGGGGGTGCACCACAGAGGTGAGTTACAACCTCTACCTAGCTGCATAGTAACCATGACGATGGGACTCGTCTTTGACCAGCCACTTGACCACCATCTGCTGGTATGATGGAAGACCTGCAACCACTACAGGAAGACCCTGAGAGAACATTTACAAGATAATATGAGTTTAACAGGAACATTATTCAAACCAAACAAACTGGAAATCATTTCTGTAAATAACACTGATGAATGAGTTTTTTCTGTCACAACATTTGACCTTCTGAAACTGTCAGTCTTCATTACTGAACAACAAAGACTCAGTATCCACTTTATTAGGTACTATAAGACAACTGTTCTGCCATAAAGTTGACTTTATAATATCCAGAGGTGTTAACTCAGTTAGGCTACATGCCTATTACTGAGGTTCATTATTAAAGATAGTTTGTACTGGACTATATTCTATTATATTGAAAGGGGGGCAGAATATTGTAACATGTCTGAATATGACTCCTTTCAGTGACCTCAATACTAAAACATAGAATTGACTGAACAGCTCTTTTACAGTGTGAACAAAAACTGAACATAAAATCAATTTTATATTATAATATATCGGACTGTATTAGACAGTTTCAACCCCAATTTGCTTCAGGTTCTCAGCCTTTTAAGGTTGTGACCAACAGAATAACCGGATCAGGGTTTCTTCCAGAGACTCTTCAGGCATTGCTGTAATGTAACACATGAAAGCAACAAAACTCAGGAACACAGAAGATAATTGCTTTAAGAGCAACTGGTTAAATGTTGGCTTTAATACATGCTTTTTATTTATTGAAATAACAACAGTCAACATGTCTGCTTTAGGCCTAAGAGCTCAATAAAAGATAGAAATAAATGCTCATGAGGAAACTGGCCCTGTTAACATGTATAAAAACAGAGTTTACAGCCTATAGTATTCTGTGTTTTTAAGTTCTGGTCCTCTGTGTTCAATGTCGCTGGATGTCACAATATCTTATTCTATTCTCTACAACTATACGGCGACCCCTCTGGAAATTAACTAATGAACCTCTTGGGGGTCCCAACCCCCAGGTTCAGAGGCAGCAAAACTGTACATTTTCTATTAATGTTAATGCTTTGTATGTTATTGTTCATCCTGAGCTGAAGCAGGCCCTGATGTAAAAGCTTTTTTGCAATTGTGCTGAGGTTAGTGCACTTTATGTATAAACCTCCTGTTTTATTATTTTTATGGTTACTATTTATAACAATTAAATAAAGATGATGTATATTTGTATCATGTGGTTATTTTCTAATTTATTGTCAGCTTCCCTGCCACACTGGCCCACATTTGTTCCAATATTTAAAAAGCTACAGTCTTCACAGTTTTAATTGTGTGTCTTCAGAAAAACAGTCAAACTGAATGCGTGCAGAAAAACCCGGAGCCCTTAAATGTGTTTGAATACAAGTGAGTCATCTGCTGGCATTATTGCCTCACAGCACGGAGAAAGTGAAACTAAAGTTCATTCGTGATCGGAGAGAGTTCAGCTGTACCGTGTATTTCTTTCATCTTAATCTTTCACACAGTGTGACATGAGCTCTCTGAGATCCACTGTGTCTGTTCTTCATCCAGAGATCATGATGGACTTCTTTATTGTGGCTTTGCTTTCTTCTCTCCCTGCGGTGGGGGTTACAGGTGAGATTGTCCTGCTTTAGTGAACAGGTAACAGACAGTGCTGGATTCAGCTCTTCCTGCTTTTTGATGTGGTTAAACAATCTCAGACTGTTACAGTTAAATGTTTTTCTAAAACCAGCTTGTTAATGCAGAAAAAGTAATGCTGAGAATCAAACGCTGTTTTGTTTCGGCTTCAAGGCGGGAATTCCCTTTTTGTTTTTTGGTTTTATCAGCACGTAGCCATTTTGAACGCATTCAGTCATAAACAATATAATCAGATGGTGTTATCAGAACTCAGTGGACTATGTACACGGTCCGTGTATGTTTTGGTCATTGGATTTTCCTTTCAGAAACGGATATTAAAAAACAGAAAACGAGTGGTTATTTGATTTTCGTTTTAAAATACAAAAATTTAAATTGAAATACAAGGCGTTTTTCCTTTTTCATGGTCAAAAAGGGATGAGCGAAATTTAAAAAATGATTCGATTTTCATTTTCTATTTCATATAACAAAAAATAAAATCACTAGAAAACAGAAACGGAAAAAAGACCTGTTTTTTCATATTCTGAGACCGGATGTTGTCATTAACAGGACGGTGCTGTGTAGAAGAAACAGTAGGCTAGTAGACTGCGGTCAATCCAGCCGTGAGTCCGATCTCCATGGTCAAATCAGCCGCACTTAAATTTAGAGTGTACAAGTATTCTCAGCATTATGGTAAATTCAGAGAAACAGCGTATTTACTTCCGGTTTTCAAAATAAAGGTATTTAGAGCCGTAAGCTATAATTAAAATATGTTACAGTAAAGTGTTTCATGCGCCCCTGATGAATAAAAAAACACTTTATATCAAGTATCTTTACTCCACCAGTGTGGAGAAATACCAAAATAAAAGTCTCATATTTATGCCTCCAGAGATTGCATATTTGACCATATTTGAGGCACTGTAAAAACATATTGCTCAGTGTTTCCTGGCTACTGATGGTATATTTGACTTTTACACATATGAGACTACAAACACACTTAATATCAAGCATTTTTACTGTACCAATGTGGAGAAATTGAAGAATAAAAGTCCATATTTATACTTCCAGATTCCATATTTTCTTATATTTTTGAGCTACTGTAAAAACATATTGCTCAATATTTCCAGGCTATGGGTGAAGCATTTTCATTATACTTCAATAATGCTGCAGTAATCGTGAAAAAATTTCACACAAATGTTTAATACATCTTGATAATATAAACACTAAACATAAAATCCTACACAATTCTAATTTGTTTACTTTTCACACAAAATGCAATGCCAGTCCACATTCTTCTTATTTTGCTGCTCTGCTGTGTCCATTTGTAGGTAAAAGGGAAAAAGAATTAGTTTTAACTTCAAAACACCATTGTACCTACTGTCTCTTCCTCACATATTATTTTTTATATTATTCAGTGTGACAGCTGTTGCAGGTGGTTCCACATACAGTTTACATTAGCTCAAATATAAGAAAATATGGAATCTGGAAGTATAAATATGGGACTTTTATTCTTCAATTTCTCCACATTGGTACAGTAAAAATGCTTGATATTAAGTATACTTGTAGTCTTAGATGTGTAGAAGTCAAATATATCATCCATAGCCAGGAATTATTTATTTCAATTTTAATTTTTTATTTTAAAACGAAAATCAAATAACCACTCGTTTTCTGTTTTTTAATACCCGTTTCTGAAAGGAAAATCCAATGACCAAAACATACACGGACCTTTGTCACTCATTAGTTTATTTCCAGCTGTGTGAACACAGGTTGTAGGTTGCAATGCCACAGTGTGCACACAGATACTGTATTTATTGTTCAGAGGATCCGATACAACCTTTCTATGAGTAACTGGTTGAACCGGATTAACCACTGATGTGCCAGTCGGTTTATGCAAACCAACATTTAGAGGAAGTTATATTTTTTTCAGCACTTTATGTATAATGTGTTACGACTGTTTGAAGCGATCAGCTTAGTTGATTAGTTCACACTGAATAGATCATCAGTTAAAGAAAGTTAATACACAAACATATTCATATATCTGTGAGCCCTGTGTAGAGACTTAAGAAATATGACTCAGTTAACAGATAATAATCTCTATCTCTCTCTCTCTCTCTCTCTCTCTCTCTCTCTCTCTCTGTGTGTGTGTGTGTGTGTTTGTTTTTAACGTAACTGCCTTTATTGGCATGAACTTTTTAAACAAACATTTTGCCAAAGCAAAAAGTCTATAATATTAATCTTTCTTATACAATACAATAATTTAATACTAATAACACAATGAAATGTAATGAAAATAAATCTATCTCTCTCACACAAACACAAAGGTTTTCGATAAAAGAAGAAAAATAATTCAGAATGTACCTTTAATTTTTCGGTATATATTTAAAATGTAATTTTAAATATATACTTCTAAGATTTCTATGTGCTCATGTTATGTAAACTATTTGTGATATATTGTGATATATATTGTTATCAATCCTATATAGAATGACATATAAACCAATATATACAGTTATTTATAGGAAATAGTTGCAAATAATGCAGTTTTCAGACTCCACCACATTTAGGCCACATAATGTGGTCTAAACTGTTCATCCATGAGAAGAAGGACTCAACAGAAACAACCTCTCACCTGTTCCTTTATGTGCACACACATTAAACACTGGTGGACACACACTGTCCTTTGAGGAGGAAAGTGTCTCCTCCCTCGTCTACAGAGGTGCAGCTGGACATTTGATGATATGTATTTTAACCTAACTGCTGTTTCTTGTTTGTGTTTGTTTTTAAACCAGTTACAGTAACAGTCGGTGATAACGCCATCCTGCCATGTTACCTGGAGCCTCCATTCAATGTGAGGACTCTAACGGTGGAGTGGAAACGTGATGGACAATCTATCCATGTCTGGCGACAAGGGAAGGACTATCTAGATCCTCAGGATGAGAACTTCAGAGGTAGAACATCTGTCTTCCATGAAGAAATGATCAGAGGAAACATTTCACTAAAACTGACCAACGTAACTGAACTGGATGCTGGAAGTTACACCTGTAATGTTCCCAAACTGCAAAGTCAGGTCAGGAGAGGCTTCATTAACCTCACTGTTGGTGAGTACAGCTAACATATTACACATTAAAATGAAATAAGAGGAAATGTTTTTAGCTCTTAAACACAGTTTACACATTTACAATTTAACACAACTGTCCAACAGAGCCAGTGGAGAACGGGAACAAAGAAAGTCAAACTGGTGATATCAGTAAGTAAATATCTTATGTGTCTCCTCATCAACTGTCATCTCCTGTTGGTCTGAATGTTATCACATATTTTAATATTTTATTTCATTGTTTCCACAGACACAGAGCCAGGTAAGTGCTGTCTTTACTGCAGTCCACAATGTACACAGATATCACTCCTGTTTCTCTCCTCCTTACAATATGAACCTGAGAATGAGCATAATATGACCTCTTTAACCTCAAAAGTAATCAGAGCAATTCTGAATGTAATGCTTCATTTGACAGGATGCCATTCTAACAAATAATGAACTCATTCATCATCTCAGAGCACACTGATAGAGGACTACTGGAAGGTCCAGTGTGTAACATTCAGGAGGATCTATTGTCACCACCATGTTTCTACAGGAGCCCAGAACACATTTGGAAGTTTTATTCACTTGTTTGCAATCTGTAACTTCACCACTAGATGGCACTGAATCCTCCACAGCGGTCCTTTAAATAACCCTGGATCCTCGTATTTCTGGAGAATATTCTTACTGATAATACTGTTTGTTTACTGTTGTGCAATGAAAGAGATTCTAACCAACAGACAGTTTTGGTGGGATGGACTCCAAGTACACATTGAGACCATGAACAGGAGAAGTGGCTGTGGAAATATTGTTGATGGATGTTATCTTGATACAGTGAAGAACAAATCTCAACATCTTTCCTCTGTTCTTTCAGATGGTGAGACTGATTTGAGCCCCGGTGCTATAATTGGCATTGCTCTTGGTGTCATTGCTGTCATTGTTGCAGTTGCTGTATTGATGAAATGTAGAAAGATCAGTAAGTCAATTATCTTCTCTCTCTCCATTTCCTCCATAAAAAGACAGTTTACAGTTTTTCAGTCAGTCTTCAAACAACAGTGAACAGTGAAACAGGTTTTTCTTGCTGTAATGGTTCCTCCTGTTATACTGGACATTAAAGATCTCTTCCTAAAGTACTTTCAATGGAAGTGATGAGGGGAACAATCTACAGTCCTCCTTACATGGAAACATTTTTTCAGCAGTGTATCTAAAGCTAATATCAGCTAATATGTGTTTATAACTCCATCATTTATTTAGAAATCATTTATTGGGGGGTCTGCACCCTGCCTCTCATGTACAGTGTGTCTGAGCTTTCTCACTATCCTGCTGTCTGATTATGATGGTTGATCTGGGACAAGCTCCTTTACTTGTAGTTCCTCACTGTCAATAACAACAAGTGTCATCACTCCACTGCTGACTGACTCTGCTTGGGCTGATAAAATAATCGCCCTTTTCACATCCTATTCTCACTTTTCCTGCTTTATTCTTTGCTGATGATGTTACTCTGCTACAGGAGACTGTGTTGAATGCTGCCATTTAATCATATTTTCCACAGATCTTTAACCAAGTGGTTTTAATGTCTAAACTTAAACACGTGTTGATCAGAGCGTTCAAAGAACAAAATGCTCATGGGACATTTTGGAAGACACTGACTAATAACTGGTTTTGTGTCTAACAGCGACGGACTTTGCAAGACTAAACACTACAGGACGCAACGGGCAAACAGGAAAGGTAGTGAAAAGGACAATGCTGAGGGTAATATAGGAGAATATAGGTATGCTCAATTTAAGAAACGTCAGCTATCACTTGATGATAACGCTTGATTCTTTGACCCAGATACTGAATGAAAGGCTTTTATTCCATCCACATATTTTTATGTTCAGAAGTTCTTCCTGATGTGTTGATTGTATAAACCACTGCAGGGACAGAGTTGGTGTCTCAGGACCTGGTTTTAACTAGAATGAGTCTTATCTGTCTAATTGAACCTTCTCAGTGTCAGTTTCCAGCTCCCTCTAGTGACTTGTTACTGTATAGGATTCATTGACTAGAGGGGGAAATAAAAGGCACTTAATGACTGTTATTATTTTAAGGTAACTATATATATATATATTTCTATATTTGGGTTTTATATATATGTATATATATATATATATATATTGATTGTGTGTTTTGCTTCATGTTATCTTGTGTTACTGTCCTGTAGAGAATCACATTGTACTACTACTAGAATTAATGTTATATAAAGTTTATTGTTCTTATTCAACCTTTTGATTTGCTCAAATATTCACAACCAAAATCACACATTGGACACTAGGAGGATGAAACTGTGATTGTTGTTTAATAAAAAGGTTTTTAACTTGTACCTGACATTTTTTTCTTATTTGGTCTGATATTTTGGGGAAGTGCAGAATCTTTAAGTTTATTGCAGCGGACCAATTAATGTTCTACGACACTGAACTGAAAGAAGAAAATCACAGTCAGTCTTTTTTGTTAGAATGTTATTGTGTATATCTCTCAGTAATTAATAGTAGAATATTTAAAGGATATTAATGTACATTTTAATGCACAAACAGAATGATGCAAACAATATCCCAGAGGTTACAAACATTAATACATTTTGAGATGCAACTGTCAGTCATTTCCAACATCAATCAGACTGTCAATTGATCAAATCAATACATTAAATAGTCCAAAATAAAATAAATATTTGGGTTCAAAACAACCCGTCGACCACCAAATTCCAAAATCAAATTCCTAATAATGATAATAATTTGCAGTAGTAGTTATATGACTACAAAGCATATCATTGAATGTCAAATAACAGATTTGATGGACTGGACAACTAGAATATCATCATCACTAATTCCCCAGGGAGAAAGTAAAGCCATGTGCACAGAAATGATATTTGAATATTTAAAAAATGCAACAATGAGTAATTTGACATTCATATTTTAATTAAACAGCAGCCAATCAGAAGCGTCAAACAATAACATAAGACCTTTCATTAATTTAGTTCCAACTGAAAACCAGAGCTGCCTGTGGACCTGCTGAATCCCTGCTCACCTCTTGTAGATATGTTGTTGGAAAGTAAGAAGAATGGAGTAGTGTTACAGTGTGTGAGACGTTGGGATGCCTTCAGGGGAAGTCCGACTGCAGAAACCCGTCTTCTAAATGTGTAACCACGATGTGGCTTTAACGGTTCAGGAGAAAAATGATTTCTTTTAATGAGGAAGAAACTCCTCCACAGGTCATACCAAGAAAGAGAGAGTGTCTGTTTCTATGAGTTTACATATTTTATATATATTATATGTCTATTTGTCTGTTAAGATTGTTGAAAGTGTTCTCATGAAAAGCAGGAGAGCCCCGTCTGGAGGATTGTTATGGATGAATCAGTGCATCAAAAGTGAAACCAACGTGGCTTATGCTTGTTCCAGCATGTAAGAATGAAACCATTACCGTCAACGGACTTTGTTTGGACTCAGTCCAATGTTACAGTTTTTTACGATTGTTTACACACTAAAATAAAAATGTCCACATAATTTGCGAAATTCTACTCCAAGGAGCAAAACACCTCCACAGATTTGCACAACATTACACACAATGTCTGCTTCACCCTTTTTGAAAAACATTACACACAGTGATTTAGAAAAACTCTACACACATTTTCACACCTTAGACACAGATAAGGATTGTGAGGTTACTTCCTTGTCATTACAAAGCCCCGGACTGCCAATGACCACACTAATGAACAAACTGGATAATCACATCCACCAGGTGTGGAAGCACACATGTGCTAATTTGAAAACGCAGCACTCAACCAGACGGAGAGATGATGAATAGTTACAGTATTCTTGTTGCTTTTACAGTAGTTTTTCTTCAGAGTCAAAGTGTGTGTACTTCATGCAGTAATTTTTATTTGTCTACAGATTTTGTTTGTTTCATTGATTTCATTTTGGTTGATTACTGTAACTGATTATGGTAAGAAATACTGTAAGTATTGAGATAAATACTTGAAATATTCAGTTTGCAGCATCAGTGTTGTGCAGTGCTTGGTAAGTTTATAGTAGGCCTACTTGTGTACATTCTCCCTATATCTCAAACTAATCATGAAGAATGTTGTGGGTTTGTCACTATTTTCTTTTACATCTAAATTATCCCTTACATAACAATGTCTGGCCAAAAATCTAGCACATGCTATTTCCTCAAATTATTTTTTTTACAAATGTGTTTTTTATTCATCACAGCAGTGTGAAACTGGCTGCAATAGTGTCTGATCATTGAGGACTGTGTTGGTTCAATGAAAACATATACACATTTTCACAAATGTGTATATGTTTTGACTGAAGTGTGTCATTTTGCAAACAATCTAGGAATTATGCAAGTTGAGTGTGGTGTTTGGATAATTGTGATTATATTTTCAAAAAAGAACCGGGTTTTCAAAATTGCGTGTAAACAATTGAAAAAAACTGTAATGACTGCAAGCATATGAACAGCTCTGTGATCAGCTTGACCAACTTATATTGTTGTTTAGCGCCATCTAGTGAGCTTTTAGATCTACAAGTTATTTTATACACACATTCTTTATTTACATTCACCCTGATGACATTCTAAAACACTTTAAATCAGCGTTTATTTATTTATTTATTTATTTATTTGTTAGTTTATGTAGCAGGGATTCTGCACATTGAGAAAACATTGCTGTAAACCCATCAAAATTTGTCAAGAGGCTGTTTCTCATGTGTAGTTCCAAAATTAACGTCATTGATCGATCAAATCCATCCATCGTTACAGCAATTCACATCTCAAACATCAACAGCAGCAACAACAAAGATAAAGTGGCAATTACAGTATAGAATACATACAATAAAAAGTAATAAGCAAACATTTATATAAATAAATAATAAAACATTGAGGTCTGACACAGCGTACCGGTAGAGCAGTTAACTAAACTGTCCTTTAATACATTCATAAATTACTCTTGTTTGCTTTTTGTTCGAGGGGCTTTTGTTGCACTTGCAGTGGCGTGGTGAGTGTGCAGCTCTCCACCGCTGTCTGACCAGGAGCTCACTCCCCACCTCCATCAATGAGCCCATGACCCCGTCTCCAGTTCACAGCTTTTCCTTCATTGGACCACAAACTACGCCCCTGTACTCAGCCCCTTCCCCTCCCTGATGCAGCCCAGTATTAAAGAGTCATCGGAGAACTTCTGCAAGAGGACGGGCTCTTAGTTCAAGTCCTCCAGGATCAGGCTCAGGTTAACAATGTGATGAAGTACTCCACACAGCTGGGGGCCACATTACTGCAGCCATACCTGGGTGGACACCACTCAGCTCACCTGCTCAGTACTCACCATGAAGGTCTCACTGCTGCTGATCCAGCTGGTTCACTTGTAGATGGAACTGCTGCTGGTTTGAGTCCCTGAACTGATGAGACAGATCCAAGAGAGGGAAACGTCTTCATTAGACTGGAAGTGGTTTGTTTGGGGCATCGTCATACTCAAGAAGCTGGAAGACAATGAACAGACGTTTAATAATTAGTCAGCTGTCTCCTTAAAAAGTCTGGTATGATTTACACAACAAGGATTTACACTCACTTCCTGTTGTTTCTTGTGTTTAAGTAAATATCCACCGACTCCACCACCCAGGACCAGTAAGACGCAGACAACCACAACGATCAGAGCGCCAGGATGGGAACGACCAGCTGATGTGAAGAAAGCAAACAGAGAGAAAAGTTACAGTGACTGAAATAAACACAAAGTGTGATTCAGTTTCTGACAACACAGAAGATTCTTCACCTCTAACGTTCGTCTCATTGTTTGGATCTGCAAGTTGGAGATCTCTGTCATCCAGCGGCGTCTCTGTCGTCGTTTTGACAGAGTTTGGTTCTGAAAAAACAGATTTATAATGATTTAAAACACAACAAACAGCTCGTCTGGAGCCACAACAGTGTAACCATCACCAGTCCAGTTATTGTAAAGAGGAGCAATGATGACTCCAAGTTATTACACTGATTCTGCAGTTTTATTCACACTCATATAATATATTGATTATTGATGAATGGCAGTACTGTAGTTTGTGAAGAGAGTTGATATTAACATTAATAGCATTAACAAAATTCACATTACTATAACATTAAAATGTTTATTTCCCTGTAATATTTTAATCTAAAAACACTTACCAACATCAAGTTTAATGGTTGCTCCCCTCTGTTGGGTCTTTAACTCTATGATGAAACATGTGTATATTCCCTGGTCAGACAGCTTCAGGTTGGTGATCTTGAGTGAAACGTTGCCGTGTTTCAGTCCGTCTGTGAACAGAGTCGTCCTCCCAACGTATGCTGACAGCTTCATGTCCTCTACGTCCTGGTTGTTATGGTAACGGTGGACATACTTGTACTCGCTCTCTGGGTCTCCAGGGTCAGGCGGGAGGTCGGCCCTCCACCAAGTCACCGTCATGTTCTCCACACTGAGTGGAGGCTCCACATGACACGGCAGGATGACATCATCACCCAGAGTGGCCACGATTGGCTGACGAGAACCGACCACCTGAAGACGACCTGAGAAATGGAGGAACACTTCAGATGATTAGGAATATCATAAGGAAGTTTAATAAGAACTAGGACTGAAACTAACTATTATTTCTATCATTGATTTTTAACATCGTAATGACGCACTGGAATCAAAGTATTCTGCCCTTTTATCAGGACGTTGAATGTGTCCCCATCACCACAACATTCTCACACTTTAACATACTGTTACACATAACAGGTGAGACAAGGTTAGACAGGCTTTGAACGTTGTATGAAGGAACAGGACAGGACGGGACGACGACGGGGAAACCAAACGTTGAAAACATAAAATGCAATTGCTCAGTGAAGAAAATAAAAAGTAAAACCTTGAATACAAAAACAAGTGTTAGATATTATAAAAAGTGCAGAGCAGCCTTTGTGTTGGATTCCAGTGTGTGTGTCTGTGTGTGTGTGTGTGTGTGTGTGTGTGTGTGTGTGTGTGTGTGTGTGTGTGTGTGTGTGTGTGAGCAATAGTAGCAACAAACATGATCTTACCTTCACTGGATGTCTGGACTCCCTCACTCAAACATACAGTCAAAGTCCACAGATGGAAAGTGAAGCCAAGCATAAAGTCCCTGAAGCACATAGTCGACCCGACTGAGCTGATCTGAGGGGGTCGGGCTGAAGAGCCCCGACCACACGAGGCCGACCTGGACAACAGAGAACATTTAAACCTTGGAACCTGATTTTATTTAAGTTGAAAACTTTATGACAACAGTAGAAATATGAAATAGATCATGTAACATTAACCCCTCACCATTCCTCATTTAAGAACTGCTTTTAAAAGACAATATTTATTAGAATAAGAAAAACATTTCTGTCACATGGTGGCAGCTGACCTGAAGGTCTTGCTGGTCGTATCTACCCCCTATAGACTGGTGGTGGGGGCTCATCTCATCCCCTGGTGACGTCTCATTTGAGTCAAATAAAGGAGCTACATTTGCTTCTTTTCTTCTGGATTGTTAACATGGTTCATCATTTTAAGTACAACAGACAGTTTCTTGTTTATTTGCTTTAACCAATATAAACTGTAAATAAACTAATGCAAATATTGACTGCAATAACTGCAGGTTAGAGAGAAACACGTGTTTGGGTGAATTGTGAGCAGATTATTTCCTGTGAGCATCAGAGATGAGTTTTCTGTCTATTTTGTTTTAAACAAGTGTACACTTTATTTTGGCAAATTCAGCATTTTCTTCTTATTGATCGCTTGATCATTGATCTATTAGCTCTAAACATTAACTGTTTAAAAAAAATAATAAAAAAAGAGATGAAGAGACCCGACCACACGAGGCTGACCTGGACAACAGAGAACATTTCTCATCATTTACTTTTCTTTACAGAAATTAACTAAACGCTACAGGCCGACGTATATTAAGTTTTCTTACACCCCTTAAAATCAAGAAGTTCTCACAACCACCTGTGAAGCTTAGGCGCCCCTAGTGGAAGACTCAGAGTACTGGACTATATTCTGAATCTATAGCTCCTGAAAATCAATAAATAATAGAAGAATCACAATAAAATACACTGCGATATATTGTGATACTGTATGTTTTTTTAAATCATTAATCCAACATCATAGCCCCCCCTCAGTTTACAGCACTGCCATCCAACTGTTGGGGGTTTAAACACAATAATCGATAGTTTTTGAGAATTGACACAATATGACACCAAACAATGACATATCTCAATATTATTCTTACAACCCTAATAATTTAGACTAATAGACTTGTGAGTCAGCCAACAGTGTTTACTGTATGAATCATCAGATTATATTTATTCTGAGGAATTAAAGAGAAATAAGTCTGAGAATAATCTGATAAAGACAGGATGTGTTACAGAGTTTGTAAAACAATATATAACATCTCAGATGTTTTGTATTTTGTATGCTACTGGATACTTGAATTTCCCTCGGGATAAAGAAAGTATCTCTCTATCTCAGTATACATACACTATATATATAGAAGTTAGTGGAACTCTTTGTTTTCTTCTTTAGTAAAATATAATTCACATTACAGTTCATGGACACAGACGCTACTGTAGTATAAAGCTCCGGACAACTCTGAGCTGAATGAATGAATGAATGAATGAATGTTCTTACCTCCATCGGACGTCCACACTCCCTCAGTCAAACACACAGTCCAAGTCCAGAAGAGAAACCAGAAGCTAAACACGAAGTTTCTGAAGTGACTCATAAAAATAAAGTGAGGAAGCCGACAGACTGAAAGTTAGAGAGCGACCGTACAGTTCTGGACCGGGTTCTGTTCTGTGGACACCACGAAGTGAGACAGGAGGAGACATGTCTGTTAATATAAGACCCACCCTACTCTGTCTCACACCAACCAACAACCACTTCCCCGTGGTGAAAAGACCACGCCCCCTTACGTAACGTACGTACGTGTGCAGACGTCGAAGACATGTGACCTGATTTTCCAGGTTGTTATTACAGTGTTCTCTATAGAACAACAAACAGAACCAACATTCTTGAACCTTCTGTGTCTTTTTTTTCCTTTCATCCTCCAAACTGAAAGAAAAATCTTCCCCTGTCGTAGATAACATTTCACAGAGCTTATAAAGTGTCTCCTCACTCTGTAACTAAGTAACTTAGGAAAATTGTGTGGTGTCTGTCTGGTGATATTCAGAATCAGATTTATTGCCAAGTAGGTTTTCACATACAAGGAATTTGCCTTGGTACACTGGTGCATAGGAATCACAACCAAGCTAGAAAATATAAATAAAGATAAAAAGATACAAAATGGCCAGATACTTAAATAAATGAGTAAATAGCTGTACAGAAATGTGCATAAATGGACTGAGAGGTCTGCAAGTTAGTAGAGTGACATATAAAGACATCTGCAATGTGCAATATAATGTAATGCATATATACAGGGTGGGTTTAAGAGCCGGTGTCAGTGGGGGTCCCGGGTCCAGACCAGCTGCAGACGGAAGGAACTGTTCTTATGTTGTGAGGTTTTGGTCCTGATGGACGGAGTTGAAGTTTTATATAACTCACCTGTTTAAATTATATTATGGCTTAAAGTTATGCATAGTTGCAGGTGTGGCCATGTTGAGTGACAGGTACCTCAGCTCCAACTCTTTGACCTGTTAAACATAAATTGCTGCTTTCTCCTGAATGTATGTATTTTTAAAATCTGGGAACAGGGAATGTTTGACATTTTTTCTTTAATCAATAAATAACTATTCAGTTGTGTATCTGTGACCTAATCTATTATAGATAATGCCAAGATTGAGTTTAAAGCTATAATATGTGTTGTGATCAGAAGCTGTCACACATTGACTGTTGATCCAGTCTGAAGCCACATTGTTACCATCCACTGTTTAGATCTTGGTGCTTTTTAACTCTAGATTTGAACCGGATGAAGGATTTTAGTCATCGGACGTCTGGATCTTAAGTTATCAGAGAAGCAAGCTGAGCTAATGTTAGCAGCAGCTCGGCTCGCAGCCCCTCCGGGACGTCCTTTGTCTGTCCAACAGCGTGGGAGAAGCAGTGATTGTTAAGGTGGAACTGCTTTATTCAGTGTGTTTAGTGGTTTTAATCAGCAGTTTGTTTCGGAGAGGAGGAGACCTCTGTGGATCATTGGGCTCCCGGTAGAAACCTCCTGAACCATGAACACTGAAGGAATCCTAACCGGGAGAAGCTGAAGCTCCCATGAGCCCATGCTACTTAAAAAAACTCCTCAAACTTTAGATTTGCTTTGATTTGAAAGACCCACTTGCGGCAGAAATGACATGTTTAAATCACAGTGTGTAAAAGTGAGAGTCATCCAGCACAAAGGCCGACAGCTTCTTCTTTTTCTTCTTTTTTAAAGTGATTTAGCGATGAGTTACAGTCACACACAAATCATACATCAGTAGTTCCGCATATAACCACGATGATGAAGTAATAAAAATAGAAATACATTGCAAACATATCACCCTGCAGTCCCTCCAGGAAGTGGCAAGTAAGTACGTAAAGCTTTATTTATACAGCACTATGTTACAGTCACAAAGTGCTTCACAGACAAACAAATAAAGATATAAACACACACATACAAACATAAACAGTTAATGCAAATTCAACCGATCTCTGGATATTCTGCAATGTTGTCCAATCACCGCAACTTTCCTGCAAATGCAACCAATAATTCTCACGTGCTTGTTCCTAGTGTTGGAGATAGAGACATGTACGATGGCCAGTGTCTCACATTAACCCTCCAAACAGCCGGTTTGCCTCCTCTGCCTCTGATTGGCTGACCTTAGCCAATCCCACTCCTCATGTCAGCCACTGAAAGCAAATACCCATCCTACTTAAAGGCCACCCTGGTGACAAAGAGCTGAGTTTCTGTTTCTGTTGAGTATGTTCTGTTTTTATAAAAACTAAATTTAACTTTAAGAACATCAGCTGTGAAAGTGCCTTTGAGCAGGGCACCTAGTCCACACCGGAATGTATACACTATATATATATTTATATATGACTTTTTATATAATTTATATATTGTCATTGTTGTTTATTTAAAAACTTGTTCCAATAAAAGGTATTTAATGTTATGTTGTTTAAACTCTGAATGAAAATCTCCACAGTGGGATTAAATGTTAGTATTTTAGTGTTCTTTATACGTCTTTTACATTCTGGATGTTATGAGGTAGTACAGTACATTCAAGGTGTTTAAAATAAGAGTTTGCACTATTATTATTCTCAAATATTTCTGCTTTGTTGTTGAATATTAATTGTTAACACAGCGGGTAAAAGTCAAATAAATCCCATTTTCAAACAACCACAGTGTGTTGTGTTCATTGTGTCTGTGGACAGCTCCTCTCTGTTACACTCATTGTGTCTGTTTGCATTTATCTCTGTCAGTTATGAGAGATCATAATCTGACCTCAAATCAGCTTCCAAATATTTTCTGTGTCAGTCATAAATGTTCAGATCATGTTGAGCAACAAACATCTGGTCTGTCTGTCCCTCAGCCAACCTCTGTCTGATGTTGAGCTAAAGTCTCTTCTAATATAGTCTCACTGAAGCATTATCTATCAGTTTATACACTCCCCTCTGTTCTCAGTTGATATTACAGTAGATAGAAACCTTATATTGTCTGCCAGTAGAGTTTAGAATACAACAGTTGACTTATTACCATTATTATATATCAGGCTCTACATGGTGGAGCCCCTGAGCACATTTCTGAATGACTGCGTCCATATTGGATCTTAAAGTCTCTCAGGTCAGCTGACCAGGGTCACTGCAAGTTCCCTGAGCTCCACTTCATAATGAAGACCGACCTTAAACTCTCTAACAGTTTACCTCTTACTGTCAGATAATCAAACTCACCTGATATGTATTCCCCTCCCTGTTTGTGTGTTCTGCTTTATTGTTGATGATGTTTCAGTTTTACTTATTTATTTAGAATATATTTATTCTGAGCAGCTGATGTTGACACTGTGTCCTGTTGTGTGGCTCCCTCTAGTGTTGAAGAAATGACACTAACAATATAAAGTAATGTACACAGTGAGCACGTATCTGAAGATGTGTTGATGTTGAATGTTTGTGATGAACTGAAGGAGGACGTGTTCCTTTATGTGCTGAGACTAATTCCCCCACTTTTAAAGATAAATAATCTTTTTAAAAACCCTCTTGGATTATCTGTAAATAGCATCGTCACAAAACTGAAAACAGTCTGAGTTTCTGACTTTCAGAGTTTAACGGTACAGGACAGTAATGCTGAGAACATATGATGATCTGATAGAATATGATGCACTGCTGTAGATTAAACTACCCAACTGTATATAAAGTAGTTAAAATGAGCTCATTACACATCTACAGCAGTAACTAATCACACCACAAGGTACAGTGTTGTGTTCATATTTTGGTTTTACTTCCCCTCAGTGGATGAAGTCAGATCAGTTATTACAGGTTTGAATATTCACTCAAATGTTTCTCTTTATTAATGAACCCAAAAGAACAAATATCTGATACTTTCAATGAGTTGGTTCAGTATTTGTTCTGTTCTCTCAGGTGTTCTTGGCCCTGGTTCTATAACTGGCATTTCTGTAGCAGTCTGTGTTCTCCTTGCTGTTGGTATTGCTGCTGTATTATGGAGGAAATATTTTCTTCTTGTTTTAGCTCAACATCAGACAGAGAAAATATTTGAGAGTAACTATTAGTTAGTTTCAGACTCATTATTCATTAAATCAGGTTGCACCATTAAAACTTCAGAAATGTTAAGAAAAGGCAAATCGGAACCTCCATGTGAATGTAGAAACCTGCAGGAAGGTTCATCAGACTCAGTGGTTCCAGTGCAAACACAACCTTCATGGAAGAGTCAGTAGAAGAAAACCTTACCTGTGTTCATCCAGTTTACTTCACAGAAATGAACAAAATGCAACAGGCCTACAGTAAATATGAAGTTTCTATAACGAAGAAGACCTCACGACCCTCGAGAGTTTTTGCTGATCAGTATTTATTCCCTTGTTGTAGAAGTGATTCAGCTTTAGTCTTGTGAGTGGAGACTTTCCATCTGCAGGTTGGTTGGTGGAAAATACCCTTCAATCACTCATTGCATTTTAATATATTTAATTATAATAGAATATATATATAATGTAATATAAAAACACATGGGGCATTGCTGTAGTTTCCTCTGAGGTGTTTCCTGGTTTGATGTTGAGTAAAAGGTCGGTCTAATGTCAATGTCTGTGGAGGAAGGACACAAATTATTAATATTTCATTGTTCACTCCAGGCTGAGACATATTCATACTAACAGAACGTTTACTGTAGTTGTGATGTGAATTTTACAGGTGAGAGAATTCAGTAATGAAGTGAAGCTCTCGCTGCCCCTTAAAGACCAGTTACAGCTTTGTTTCTAAAGAGGAAATCCATTAGAACAAAATGTCGATATGTACGTTAACATGAACTGTCTTCACTGTGATAATGTGGAGAACTTTAGGTTGAATTTCAGTGGTGGAAAACTAATGAAGATCTAATTTTAATACTAATATATTTGTCTACTGATCATTAAAGGTAAAAATAGAAAGATTAGGACTCAGTTTCTGTGGTGGTCGAGTGCTGAAGTCCATGCCAACTGTTTTTAATGCTGTAACCATGGTGATGGATTTGGACCAATAAGAGCTGGGTAAGAGGGTAGATCCGCCTCCAGGAAGTCAAACATAACAAACACACATGGCAGAGGCAGAGGAGGGCGGGTCAGGATGCTTTCATCATCATTAGTGGAAGAAACAGAGAGATGAGTTTATACAGTTTTATAATGTAAAGTCTGACGTAGTGTTTGTAGTTCATTAGAATATTTTACAGTCCTGTTTCTTTGTACATCTTTAAAAACAACCTTAATAAGGCTTAAAATACTGTA